ATTTCAAAAAAAAAAAAAAATTATTATTTTATCAAAATTTATACCTAAAAAAAAAAAAAAAAGATAAATATTACAGAGAAAATATTATTCTTATAGATTCTAATGTCTGTTGTTGTCTTCCTTCGATTGTTTTGTTTCATACCTGAACGAAACGATATTGGAAATGATCCGATTGATGAGAATTATATTGAACAGAATGAAAAGATTAAATTACCATTCTTTATTAGCTATAAAAATCAAATGGAAAATAATGAACAGAATTATAAATATAATATTAATTACAATGATAATCCATATAAAACATCTGTAATTTAAAAAAAATTTTTTGATTAAAACTTTTTTTATCGATTTACAGTTTTACATTTTATAAAATTTTCTCTCTTCACTTTCTTTCCTTTTTTTTTTTCTTGGTATCAAATGATATGATAAGACGTCACACGTATACAATACGTGAATAATTATTGCAACACGTCTGTTAAAATACGTTAGCATTATTTTTTTTTTTGATGAAAAAATTATTTTTTTGATCGAGAATGAAAGAAGTAATTATTGTTAAAGAACTGATAAGAAAAATTGATGAATATGTTATCAAATAAATGAAAAATATTATTATTGATAAGGAAAGTAAAAGAATTTGATTAAGTTAGCATTAATTTAATAAATCGTTTAATCTAGCATTTACGTAAATAAACTTTAGTCATAAAATTCTCTGCTACAATAGCATACGTCACGTCTACTACGTCATTTGTTAAATTAAAATATATTTCAAAAAAGAATTTACACATTATTCATATAAATAGAAAACACAAAAATGAACTTAAATAAATGGTAATTTACATTCACTTTGCTTTTAAAAATTTTAATTCAAATCATTCAAACCGCTCAAATTTGTTAAATTACTGTGAAAAATTCAATTGATAACTTTTTTTTTTTCATTTACAATTATTCATTTCATTAACTAATATATTATTAATCTAATTAATCATTTTGTGATTATATCAGTAAGTTATCAAAATTTTAATGAATAATTAAAGTAAAGAAATTCAATTTTGAAGCATTGATAATTTTCGAATTGATTGACCTATGCAAAAATTCAAACAGTGTCCTTTTTAAATTGTTAGTAAAAATGTAAATTATCTAAATTCTAAATTAAAATCTAAATTCCAAATTAAAAAGTAAAAATCTAAATTTTCACTCAACTCTTAAGCTCAGTTCAAATTTAAAATTCATCCAAATTGATTAAATTTTTTTTTGAAATTTTACGTTTAATTAGCTGATCAGTTGATTAGATTTATAATTTAATTAAATCCAAATAATTATTACAATGATATAGCATTTTGTATTTTTTCTTGATTTTTTGAGACGGAAATACTAGAACAATGTTTTTGTAACAAGAAAACGAATGAAAGAAAACAGAATTATTTCCGGATTATTTCTTACTATGATATCTAAAATTATCAGGCATTGAAAAGTAAGTTTTATTTTATATGTCAAAGTTGAACCAAAACTAAACCAAATTAATTTAATTCAGCAAAGGCAATACCGCTTGATTCAAAAAGAAAAAAAAATGCAGTCGAACATCTCTCCTTATAAACCGGATCTTATATCAGTTCCGGTTTTCAAAAGATGCATAAAGCTTATTTTCAGGAAATATTTTATGACTAACAATAAAACACTCATTCATTAGATATTTCATCGTCCGGACATTTACATAACTCTCGATGCTTGAATTCTAATTTGAATTTCACTTAAATAAGCGCTTTTGTCCGTGTCATCTGTTCATCGTGCATTCAATGATTTCATCTCATAAATTCTCAATCCAAATTGCAAGTTCTTACAGTCTAATCCTCACAAAATTAATCCTTAATCTCGAAATTATCTCGAATCTCGACGATTGATTTACGATTTGAGAATAATTTACGTAAATAATCTTATGATGGTCATCTCTTACGATATTTTCAATTTGCAAATATCAAATTTCAAAGGGAATCATTTTTCAATTTGTTTATTTTGTCTGGAAGTGCTTCACAAACCATTCTGAAGATATTTGCTTATAATGGATTATAGGTGGAATCCGGAATGACATAGCATACTTCCTTGGCTATTTTTGCTAAAGAATAACAAATTGACTTATTTACTTATAACATTAGGCTTTTATAATTTCCGCAACAAAATATTAAAATGTAGATATAAATAATCCCGGAACCGGAAATACCGGAACAGAGCTATCAACTTTCCCGGGAATAAAAGGAAAATTGCGCTGAATTCCACTCCGATATTTCTAATAGAAAAACATTAATTCCTCTTTTCTGTTTAACGAATTTAGCTGAGATTTTTGAATTATGAATAAATTGCAGGTGGCAACTACTTCACATTCATACACATACACTCACTCACATACACATACATAACATCACACACTCACATACACATACATAACATCACAAACTCACATACACATACATAACATCACACACTCACATACACATACGTAACATCACACACTCACATACACATACATAACATCACACACTCACATACACATACATAACATCACTCACTCACATACACATACATAACATCACACACTCACATACACATACATAACATCACACACTCACATACACATACATAACATCACACACTCACATACACATACATAACATCACACACTCACATACACACATACACGTAAACGCACACATACGTAGAAATGCATAATACAGATAGATGTCAAATGACGTGAATAATACTTTTAACTTACATTTTTAATCTCACTTTGCTGTTATTATTTTTAAAATTGTTTTGACGTAACCACCGACTAAGTCAATTGTCATAATTGCGTCATTATTTCTGCGTGAGTAAATCTTTGAGTTGGTTAGCAGCGTTTCGAGAAATGTTGTGAGTACACGTTTCCCAACGTTGTGAGTACACGTTTCCCTTTATTGGACATAAGGTCATTAGCTTAAATTACTGATACAATTTGCAATTCGACAAGTAATGTGACACTTTCTTGACAATTCAACTTTGACAACAATCAAATTTTTTTTTCCCTTTTTACAGAGAGAATAATTTGAACTAATATTCTTCTTTCAACGAATTTTTTTTTTCATTCGTATATTTAATTCAAAATCAAATCATATTTGTGCTAATTTAATTAATTAATGTTACAATGACGCAGAAAAGCGCAGTTATAGAATATTTCAATCTCTCTCTGTCCCTCTCTCTCCCTCTCTCTCTGTCCCTCTCTCTGTCCCTCTCTCTCTCCCTCTCTCTTACATATGATAAAATTGTTTTTGAATATAAAATTGTTTAGCTTTAGAATTTCTAATTCATTTGACGATTGCTTCATTTCCATTCTTTTTTAAATTAATTCTCTTATTACTTTACATTTGTATAATTTCACAAACATTTCTAGTATTTCCGTCATAGAAAGACGTTGAAGTGAAATTAGAATATCACGCATACGTCATTACGTCATTACGTTAAATTGATAATCTAACACAAAAACGTCAATTAGTCAAATCCAAAAATTTTGCAAAAATTTAATCAATTTTTGATAAATTTCAAATTTTAGCTGAGCATATGAATTGGAAAAATGGCTGATTGAAAAATTAAAACTAAAATTTCTAAAAGATATAAAATTTTTCAAAAAATTTAGCATTTTCTCTTTTAGAATAGATTAGCTAATTTAGTGATATTAATTTTATTTTTTTTGCATAAAAATTAAAAAAGAATTTAAAAATTAAGCATATAAAATTTTCCGAATTTTTATAAAATTTTCCGGATTTTCACACAGCAAAAAGTCGTTCAATTTGATAACAATAAATTCTTTTTTTCTATTTTTTCAATTCATTTTTTTTCTTTTCATTTTTAAATAAAATTGCAAAGTTCAATGCAAAATTTATATTACAATAAGAGATAATTTGCTGAGAAGAAAGCATAAGCCGAATCATTCATTTCTCTTCTGGAAATATCTTTGTGATCTAATCTCTATCACATTTTTTTGTTTTGAATTTTTCATTTAAACTTCTAACTCATTCCTTTACGGTTTTATCAATTAGTAATTTCCTGTTTTACTGAATTGTTTCTGAAATAGCTCTGAATTTCTTCCTTTACCTCATTTGCTTAAATTTACCACTTTGAAATTTGAATTAATTTGAAAATATTCAATAAAAGAAGTAATAATTATGGTTTTTGGTTTTTATTTTTTATTTATTATTTTATTGAAATTTGTAAAGTACATTGTGTAAAAGAAATATTTTCTAAGAATTTAAAAATAAAATTATTCTTTTCTATTTTCTATTTTAGTTCTTTTAATTTCAGTTAAATCCATCCTATTTTCTAATTTTAATTATTCATAACGATCAAATTAGAAATTTATAATAATTTATAAGTATAAATTATCTTTTTAACTATATAATAACTCAACAAATTCATTTCTAAAAACAATCGATAATTTTTTTTTTTTTTTTTGAAAAAAGATAGAAAACATATCATTAACATATCGTTATTTAACTTTAAAAAAAAAAAAGTAAGTAATTGTATCTAATTTTGTTAGTTGATGCTGGGCAAATGTCATAGCTAATAAATTGAATAACTAATTAGCAGCTCTCTTGTGAACAAAGTATTTGTTTTTGTTGTACTGCAAAGAGGAATAAGTAATATTTCTATCTTAAAATTGTAGTCAACAATTTTACATCGTTAATTTTTAATGAATACCTTTCATTCTCGTATATCATTAAATCCAACTTGTTTATTTTGTTTATTTAGTCAACATTTTTTTCCTGTTTTTTTCAGCTGCAGTAACTCACTGATTTGTGTACAAAAAATTGTTAAAGTAATTAAAGTATTGAAATTAAAATTTCGATATGAATAATTAAGTTAATTATTCAGAGTACATTGTCAACAGTTGCTGCTATCAATGATCCAAAGTTGATCAAATTTAAAAAAAAAAAAAAAGTGATGATGATGTAAAACAAAGAAAGCTTTGAAATAAAATGATTTTGAACAGGTAAATTTACTGTTCTATTTTTGGAACAGTTCAAATTAAAAGATGAATTTAAATTTTAGATGATGCAAATTGGTATTTAGATTAAATAATTGTTTATGTAAACAAAAATTTTACTGTTTTTGAAAAAAAGTTTAAATATTTTAATCAAAAAAAAAAAAAAAAAAATTCTTATCATTTTATCAAATAGAAGATTACTGATATTTCTTATAGCTAATTTTTTTGTTTTTTGCAACATTATGAAAATAGAATTTTAGCTTAAACGAAACTTTAATCGTAATCAATCAAACAGTTTGTGATAAGATCAATAGAACAGTGGACAGTCCGAATGTAACGATCGGTGTCACATATGTCACACTCAGTCTTCTATTCCAGGTTTGTCCTTTTTTTTTTAATTCAAATTTTAAATTCACATTTTATCAAATAATTTAATAAGTATAACATTTCAATGTAAAGCATAGCGTAATGATAATTAGCTACACTACTCTAAATATTTAGCTTTTAGCGAGAATTCTCATCGATCGGATGACAATTTAGAAAATTTTAAAATTGATTTAACAGTCTATGATTACCTTATCAATAGATTACAGATGATAAATCTACGATTACCTTATCAATAGATTACAGATGATAAACGCGAGAATTCTCATCGATCGGATGACAATTTAGAAAATTTTAAAATTGATTTAACAGTCTATGATTACCTTATCAGATGATAAACATTCTTTAACTGAACTATCGTATCATTTAAAGTATTTTATGTAATAAGAATAAAATTTAACTAATATCATCATTAATAGTTATACAAACTAAAAAACGAAAATTTTTATTGAGTAAATAAAAATTTGTAAAATAAAAAAAATAAATAAAAATTTAAATAAAAAAATTAAATGGTTAATTTTAGATTGCTTATTTGCCATGTTTTGTGACATTTTTACATCGTGACCATCGATGTCATTCATGTTTCAAATTAATGATTGTAATTGGTATTGTTGATATAATCACTACAAATAATGATTTAACAATTGTTGGATTTTATTCTATCATAGGAATTTCATATTGCACAGCACCAATTTTTTCCGCATTTTCTAATTTTATTTCCTTAAGTTAGTAATCAAAAAAATATTTATAATTTTTTTTTTTTTTCAAAAAATTTAAATTAAACTTTAAGCACGTAGATAGATTTACTTTTTCTAGGTAGCAACATTTTTATGTTTATATATATTAAATTGAAACTTAGTTTTAACTTAACTTAATAAATGATAAAATTAAATTTTATAATATTTGTTAAAATCTTTTCATTTACAGCCAAATTTTACAAATACTTTTTTTCAGCATGTTGGTTTGCTCATTGTTCATTATGCATTCTTCTTAATTTTAATCGATGCTGTAATTTATATTTCGGAAGAACAGTGGTAAATATTCGATCATTATCCTTATGATAAGTTCAACTAATAACACTTTTTGAAATTTAAATTGAAATAATTAAAATGAATTCAAAAAAAAAAAAATAATATTAATATATATTCAGGAATGTTTCACAAAATCAAGATTATGGCTTTGGATTTTTATGGCATTCTTATATGCTTTTATTATGTATGCAATTTGTCCATCTGGATTTTATCATAGTTATCTTGGCATTTGGCTTAATAAATCAAATTCAAATGAAACATTGGTATTTTTACTTTCAAATTTCTTTATTAAAACTAAATTTTTGCATTTTGGAAAGAAAATAGATTCTGAAATTAAAACTAATGGAAAATCTTATCTTCCCTATTGAATTAATCCTATATTGTTATTATTATAATATTTTTGAACTTAATTTTATGATATGATAATTTCTTATCAGTTTTTTGATTACATTATCAGACGCTCAGTTTGCCTCATATGTTCAATAACGCTTGCGTTGTTGTTATCATTTTTGGACAGTATGTATTCATGGCAATAATTTTGCATCAACGATTACATTCAGTTTCTAACAGATCAATTAGAACAGAATCCAAACTATCTGTATGTTATTTATTTCAAACTTTAAATTTAATTAAGGATGCAAAAGTTATTGGATGATATGAGTTTAATGTAAATTTTCATTAATTCAAATAGAGCACATGGCAGCTTAACTAATTTGAAGATTAGCTAATTTGAAAACAATTTCAGGTTTTTGTAACAATTTGATCAGTTTAAAGTTTAAAGTTTCAGTTTGTAATGATCAGAAGGATTTCAAATAACTAATTAAGCATACTTTAAGTACCATTGTTGTTAATTTAATATCTATGTTTTCAGTAAAAAGAAGGTGACACAAAGTCTTATAATTATGGTAAAACCACTGTTTAATACCTTACAGTCATCCAAGTCACATAACCCACCCATCTTACAGTCATCCAAGTCACATAACCCACCCATCTTACAGTCATCCAAGTCACATAACCCACCCATCTTACAGTCATCTAAATCACATAACCCACCTATCTTACAGTCATCCAAGTCACATAACCCACCCATCTTACAGTCATCCAAGTCACATAACCCACCCATCTTACAGTCATCCAAGTCACATAACCCACCCATCTTACAGTCATCCAAGTCACATAACCCACCCATCTTACAGTCATCCAAATCACATAACCCACCACCCATCTTACAGTCATCCAAGTCACATAACCCACCCATCTTACAGTCATCCAAGTCACATAACCCACCCATCTTACAGTCATCCAAGTCACATAACCCACTTATCTTACAGTCATCCAAGTCACATAATCTAAACATTTTTTGATATCCATAAATTCGAATTAAAATTTTTTTAAATTTTTAGGTACTGATACAATCAGTTATTATCTGTTTCTTCTTGCTGATTTGCAGTGCAATGTACATAATTATCGAATTCATCAGTTTACCACCAACTCTTTTGCCATTCATTCATATTTCATGGATGTTCTCACAAGGTTCTTACTCTTCTTCAAATTTATTTTATCACATTTTAATGTTATCAATCATTTAATTAAATCGAAGTAAAACAAAATTAGAATTTCAAAAATTTTTATTATCCAAATTAATATAGCAATACTTCTGTGATAGTTCTTATTATTACGATAACTTCGAAACAAATCACAATTATAGCTAGAAATTTTGGAATGTTTTTTTTTTCTCGAGAAACTGATAACTGATTGCATGTAATTTGCATGCATGCTTGCATGCATGCAGTATGAGTAAGCTATAAGAATTTGCTTTGACAGGTGGCAAAGCATTTCTTTACATTGCTATGAACAGAAAAGTACGACGAAATATCGCCGATATATGTTGCAAACAGAAATGAATTTGTGAAATTTGATGAAAAATTGTCGATGCTAAGCGAGAAGGAATAATATATTATTGTTTATGAATGAATGAATGATTTGAGAGTTCGATGAAAGAATTTTTAATTTTTTGAGAAATTTAATTTTAGTATTACAAATTTCTAAACAATCCAGTAATTCTTACCAGAGATTATAGCTTTGTTCTTTTTCGTTTTATTCATTCATATTGTTTTAAAAATTTAATAAATTTTACTTTCATTCAATTTGAATACTTATATCGCAGTAACACAAAAGAAGCACTGAACATATAATATTAACTAATCTCTTACATTTTTTTTTTTTGCTTGCTAAAAAAGCAAAAAGAAAAAATTTGCATAAAGTTCAGTGAAAAAGTTGAAATTTTTGAGAAGCAAATTTGAAAGGAATTTTTTTTTTTTTTTAAATTAATGATCTGATCTATGACTTATTTTATATAGAAAATGTGACAAATTATTGAATAAATGATAAATGATAAAGAAGAGAAGAAAAAATAAAAAATTGATATATTTACTGGAATCGATAAATAATACTTTTTTTTTATATTCTCATTTTAGCAGTTCATATTTTAATAAATTCTTATGATATCATTTCATTTACTCTAAAAAAAAAGATAAGAAATGAAATTGGAAATCAAAAAAGTACAAAGAAATATAATCTAATTCTTATTAAAATAATAATAATGAACACTTAATCAAATGTTTCTTTCTTCAAATCTTTCTAAATTATCCATAAGAGATGAAATACTATATGAATTGATCGTTGTTTTTTTTCATTGATAATATTCAATAATAATTAATCAATAAATGATAAAGAAGGGATTCGAAATGATCATTTCCATTCCACGTATAAAATACGTGTAAAAAAAATTTGCGTATAAAAAATAAAATGTAATACGTAGGATCAGCAATGAGAAGTATTAGTGAGATGATAAATAAGAGTGATAACGATAACAGTTAAAATTATAGCAATAATAATATTCCGAAAAATATTAAGTTATAAAATTTAGAATTCAACATATGTCAAAAATAAGCAATAACTATCATAGCTGAATTTTAATATAAGAATTTGAGAAAAAAATATTTTGAAAATTATTGGTGTAAGTCAGTCTCATATATGTAAATGATAAAAAGCACTCATAAAAGTAAAACTTTAAAAGTGAAATTTCTTTTTAGCTGAATATAAGTGGCATTGATAATTCATTGTTCTTTCTTAAATTTGTTAAGAATCGATGTTGTTGAAAAGTACTTCATTCTACTCATTAAATAATGGAGAAGAATTTTCCAATTCGAAATTTCGATTTAAAACATAAAATGTGCCATGCATTTGAAGGAACACATTTGAAGTCAGTGTTAAGCAGTTCAAGCAAAATGAGTAGTAGTAATAAGTTTGTGATTAGTTTCAAATAAAAATTATGAAAGAATGATAATATTAATATCCATATGAGTGATAAAAAACAGCATTGGTGATAATGGTGAGTGATAGTAACATCATTAGTGATAACAACAGCATTGGTGATAATAATGAGTGATAATGACATCATTAGTGATAATAACAGCATTGGTGATAATAATGAGTGATAATGACATCATTAGTGATAATAACAGCATTGGTGATAATAATGAGTGATAATGACATCATTAGTGATAATAACAGCATTGGTGATAATAATGAGTGATAATAACATCATTGGTGATAATAATGAGTGATAATGACATCATTAGTGATAATAACAGCATTGGTGATAATGGTGAGTGATAATAACATCATTAATGATAATAATGGGTGATAGTAACATCATTGGTGATAATGGTGAGTGATAATAACATCATTAGTGATAATAATGAGTGATAGTAACATCATTGGTGATAATGGTGAGTGATAATAACATCATTAGTGATAATAATGAGTGATAGTAACATCATTGGTGATAATGGTGAGTGATAATAACATCATTAGTGAAAAAAAATGAGTGATAATAACAGCATTGGTGATAATAATGAGTGATAATAACATCATTAGTGATAATAATGAGTGATAATAACAGCATTGGTGATAATAATGAGTGATAATAACATCATTAGTGATAATGATAAGTGATAACAGCATTGGTGATAATGATGAGTGATAAAAATTTTTACATCTTATTCAATTTTTAAAGAAAAGAGGACTTTTCTTCTCTCGTTTTTTTTTTGCCGAAATTTCTCCTTCAGTGCAATTATCGACATTATTGTCATTGTTATCGTTTCGCTTTGTCATCTATCTATCTGTCGTCTTTGTCACCATCATTTGAATCGAGAAGGAATGTATGATGGATAATTGAACTGATGAACAAATGGATTTTACGTAGTGACATTTTCGATGTCTTCAAATACTTCCTTTCGGTGATTAAACAATGAAATTCCATATTTTTAAATTTATCAACTTTTATATATTTCTGAAATTACAAATTTTCCTCCTACAAAATTATTTCACCCATAGAGTATTGATAATAAATTTGAAGAATTAAATCAAATCTTTGCAAATGATATCATTTATGTGATATTGCAATTGTTGTCCAATTAAAAGATATAGGTAAATCGATAATGTTATCTTTTGATAATATCATACAACAATTATTCTATCGTTGGGGTTCAATTGCTTATCGTTTTCGATTTATTCTATTTATTGGACCAATCTTATTAACAATAGCTCTTAGTTTTGGATTTTTGTTTATCAAAAGACAGGTAAACTTTCTCTTTTTTTCCTAACTAAAAAATTATCAAACTATGATAAGCAAGGAAGTATCTCTTAATTTTAACTACTTTTGTTTTAATTTAATTTAAGCTAAATTAAATTAAGACAAATTGTAAATTAAAGTTGATAAATTAATCAATGGAAGCAATTAAACATTCTAATCTATTTCAGGTAAATTTATTATCAAATCTTTCATTTCATGTTTTCAAAAAAAAAAAAAAAAAATTAAGAATGAATTTTTTTACAGACGACAATCGATCCGGAATATGTTTTCTCACCAAAAAATGCACAGTGGCGTTACGAGAAAAAAGTGCTCAGTGATTATTGGCCTTTAAATGAACAGGAATTTTGGCCTGGCAAAAGTTACGACTATACAGGATATTTGGATATTATAGCAGCTGGAATAAAGCATCCAAAATTTGGACGACCAAATATGTTGGTATTAAAGTATTTGGATGAATTGGAACGGATCAATCAGGTTATTACTTTAATTAATAATTAGCCAAATTTTTGAAATAAACTAAATTCTTTATATTAATTATTTGAAATGGAAAGAATTGCATTGTTATCGTTATCAATGCTCAAAATATTATCATAAAAACTGGATAATCAATAATTAGATAATACTATTGATATGATCTGATCACTATGATCCAATAATATATCATCGATTATTATTCAATTAATAAATTTAGCATAATTAAAATGATAAATTTATCTAATTAATCTTTTTAGCATATTATACATAATATTACAATATCAGTAACACATAATAATATGACATACGAAGTTGGTTTTACGGATTTATGCATGTCATACGACTGGAAATGTTTTATGAATGAACATGTGACAATGCTTATGCCAAAAGAACGATGGGGAAATTTTGATCCAAAATTAGCTGAATTTACTGATGATATAATCAATAATGAGGTATGATAATCAATCCTTTTTTTTTTTTTTTTTTTAGTTTTAATTTAATTTGTTCTTCAATGAAGAAATTTTATTTAAATAATAAAAATTTGATTAGTAATTTGTATAAAGCATTCATTCCAATCAATATAAATTCAATTTTCTTACTATCATCAAATTAATCATTCACAATTATATCAATTTTTTAAATTCAGATTAATATATTTTGTTATAGTAACAAAGTATTTCCACTTTTTTTTTTTGTAATATATAATTCAGTTTATTTCATACCTTTTCTAGTCTTCTACTTCTTTTACAAGTAATCCACGTCAAGTAATCCACGCTTTACGTCAACATACACATGCATTCGACGTCATTATCTTATCTTTTTTCTTTGAAATCATTGATTAAATTTTTGAATTTAATTTGATTTATCATTATTACATTACTTTTTTATAGGTTAAAATAACTTATCCAATCGGTTGGCGTGGAACTGAACCAATCTATTTTGGCGCATTGATCGGTGCACCCCATATCATCGATAAAGTAAGTATACCTTTACAGATTTGTATGCAAAACATGGCTGTTACGAGTTAAAGGACTAGTCTTGGGTCTAGTCCAAGTGTCACAGTCTAGTATATGGCCTAGATTAGAGTCTCATGCAATTAATGAGGTGACAGATATTTTCTCGAATTAAGTGAGTCAAGATTCAATGCAAAACTACTTTTTAACTTATACTGTCATTTTTGAATTCAGTCGGTTGATATGTTTATTTACGGACTGAATGCACCGGTCCGGTTGATGTATTTATTTATGGAATAAATGCTATTTGTCTCTTTTGCTATTGCAATATTATTTTCAGGAAGGTCATTTCAATTACGTCCGAGCTGTTAGACTTACTTATAATGTTCGAGATGAAAAAATTGGTAATATTAGCTATTTGTGGCGTAAAAAGGTTGCCGGTTTTTTATCTGACGTCAAGAATCCAGCATCCAGTATGTTAAGCTTTCTTCTTCATTCTTACACATTTCTGGATCCTGTTTTTCAAATAGAAAAATCAAAAATGTATTCAATACAATTAAATTACAACAACTCCCTTCTTTTTTTTTTTTAGAAAAAAAAATAAAACCAATAGCAGTTAGCAATTACAGCAATTTTTCTATCAAATTAACACAACAAAAAACGGTTTACTATCCGTCTTTTCGGAAACCGGTTTTATTGTACACGGTATAATTATAGAAAATATATTCATAAACTATTTCTTAATAGATTTTCAGGTGTTTCATTTTTGTAGAAATCCTGGAATTCGGTATGTTTCATAATGAAAGTTTACCGGAAGGCTTACAACAAGTTGCTGATTCATTGTCACCAAAGTTTGCAATAACTGGTGTCGTCCTATTCTCGCTTTGTGGATTAAGCGCTATTGTTTTATACAAACATAATGATGGATTCATTGCCGTCGACTGGTTGCGCAGCAAACCGACAATAGCATTAGCCGGTAAGACCGATTCCACTTCTCGTCATCATCCGTTCACGTCCGTAATAGAAAATAATGACACCTGTAAACAATGAATTTTAGCAATCCTGAACTTTAACCTTAATATTTACACTGTAACTTTAAACATAAAATTGAACTGTTGAATTATTAGTAAGTCATTATGAAGTATTATAATTCAAATAATGACTGCAAATATCGGATTTATTTTATGATTTAAAACTTTCATCATTCACTTTTACATAAATGATTTGAGTAAAATACTTTTTTTTTCCATACGTTATCAAATGTTTTTCTGTTTGACGTAACAAATTGACGTAGCAAATTGACGTAGCACTAATTTTTACTTAAGTTAATTCCTCTAATTGCTATAGGATTACTCCATTGTAAAACTTTGAACAAATTGTGTAATATCTCCAATCTTTTAATAGTTTAATTTTTAAAACTTCAACAATTCACAACTTAATGATAACATCCTTACTTATCTTAGATACTAAATTCTTTGATAAATACTACAAATAAAATTTTAATTATACATTTTCAGGTTTATTTTGTCCTTTACTTGCAATTATAAGCGGATTTGGTTTAATTTTATGGATGGGTTTCTTATACAATGCTATTGTCAACGTATCACCATTTATCATCTTTTGTAAGTTCATTTCAATCATTTCAAAATAATTTCATCTATTTTTATTCATATAAAAATTGAATTTTTTTTTTTTTTTACAATTCTAATGCTACTCTGTGCATTGTACAGAAAAACATTAAAATTTATTTATTATTTTTCTCAATCATTTCAATATTTTGCACATTTTTATCATACAAAAATGTTACAAAATGATAATTTGTGTGAAGGAAAAATTTTTGATTGATTAATTTATTATAGAAAATATAATTTTGTATAATTATTTAGGTATTGGTGTGGATGATATGTTCATAATGAGCGCAGCTTGGCATCGAACTAATGTTGAACAAAGTGTTTCACATCGTTTATCCGAATCACTTGCCGAAGCAGCGGTTGCAATATCAATAACAACAATCACTGATATGGTATCATTTATTTACTCTTTTCTTATCACTGATATGGTATCATTTATTTACTCTTTTCTTATCACTGATATGGTATCATTTATTTACTCTTTTCTTATCACTGATATGGTATCATTCATTTACTCTTCTCTTATCACTACTAACACTATTGATATGGATTAAACAAACAGTTAAGATTTAAAAGTACACTGTCTGCTGGAAATGTAATGAACGGTACTTTTTGATTGTTCGTTTAAGGATAATTTAGATGATCAGTATACACTTATATCCGGTCTGCTAAACCGGATATATCAAACAACTGCACAATTCAATATAATCTAAAATGACGGTAATTCCTGGATATATCAGTGTATTTATCAACAAATGCAGCTATCATAGCTAATTAATCAAATTTGCAACAAATTTCACATATATTTTTTCTGTTTTTTCAGTTAACCTTTGGCATTGGCTGTTTGACAACATTACCAAGCGTACAAATGTTTTGTTTTTATACATTTATGGGTATAGCATTCACTTATCTTTATCAGTTAACATTTTTCACCTCTGTTATGGCATATAGTGGAAAACGAGAAGGTGATGGATTGCATGCGATAACATTAAAACCAGTTATCAGTGAAGAATTAGCTGGTTAGAAGATTTTTTTTTTCTTTTTTTTCTGTTTGAGAATTTTTTAAAAAATCTTTTTAGGAAATGTCAAAATTTTCTTTCTTTTTCATTTCAGATAATTTATTTAAAAAACTATTTCTAACGGGTAGCATATCATCAAAATCGACAATTTCAACGAATAATAATACTTCTTCAAAGATACCATCTGAAATTGTGCAAGAAAATGTGACAAGAAATGAAGAAGGAAATGAAGAAAATGTGAAAATTACATTAAGTCAAAAAATGCGTAAGAAATTCATGGATTTTAAACAAAGCTTAAATAAGGTTAGCGTTTTTTTTTTCTTTTAACTATCGCAAAACTTATGTGTTTTTCATAGAAAACAGTAATAATTCATTAACAGGTCAAAGTAGTATCAGTTCGAATTGTTTATTCAAATGAGAAAAAGTTCACAAATTAACTATGACTCATTTCATAGTAGTAGTAGTAGTATGACGTAAACTAGTATCAAAGAAAGTATGCTGATAAATGGTCTTTTGAATACGGAATAGATGGTAACACACGTTACGTCATACTTTTCACGTATTGCGCATCCTACTTACGTGTTGCTTAAGTGATAACATAACACAATCTTTGTTTATGAAAAAAGTACACGCATTCATTAAACTATGTTACTGTCAATTCGAGACAGTATGAAATTAAACTCAAAAAACTTTGTGAAGTGGCAATCATCAATACTTTCTAGAATTCTTACGCAATTTTATAATATTGTTAATAAAATTATATATTGATAGTAAGTTTTAGAAATTAAATATTTAATAATAATGAGAGTATAATGAATAATTCAACAACAATTTAGGAACTACCAAAATCGAAACATCGTGAAACAATGATTTCGAAAATATTTCGCGAATATTACGGTCCTTTCTTGCTTGATTGTTTCACCAAGAAAGTTTTTATTTTCATTTATATCATCTATTTATCATTAGCAATATTGGGTTGTACAATGTTGAAGGAAGGTTTAAATCCGAAATTTCTTGTTCTGGATTCATTTTATCTCAGCAAATTTTATATATTAATGGATGAAACGTTCTGGGAAGAAGGTATGATTAATTAGTTAATTTTGGACAAAATATTAAATTTGATTTATTACTATGGACGGTATAATGGACTTATTGATTGTTTGGTAATAGAAATGTCAATTGAAAAAATAAACACAATGTTAGTATATTCTATTTCAAGTTTCAGTAGTTACATTAAGAAAAGAGAATTTAGTTGAACTCCATTAAATGACAAAGATCACATATCTGAGAAAGTAAAAATTTGTATTTCACATTAATTCCATCCAATATATCAAAATAGCTTCATATTTTTTAATATTTAAGTAGTAGTAAGTTTAAGCGAATTTAATTATATATTCGTATGAAAGAACAAATCAACGACAATTTGTTTTTTTTTGTGATAAATATAATAGAGTTGACATATGCATTACTGAAATTTGCATTGATGAAACTTTCTGTTTTTTTTTTTTTTTTAAATAAAACACAAATAATAAGCAAAGGAGAAATTTCGAAAGTTTGTAATAAAATATTATGCAGAAAAATGGAAAGTTAGAATTTATTCATTAATCATTATAGGCAATTGTAACGATTCTTTCACATATTTTTCTAACAAATCGAAATGAATGATAAAGCTATTACCGTTTCCTATTATTCAGGAATTATGTGCTGTATAAGATCTATGATTCAGGCCTACAAATGCAAGTTGTGGTAAATTCACCACCTGATCTGTTTAATTCCAAGGAAAGAAAAGAGTTCCAGAATATGCTCGATGATTTCGAAAATACGGAATATACAATGCGACATAATGCGACAATGATATGGCTTGATGCCTACGAAAGAAAGCTTAGAGAAGATCACAATTTTTCAAAGATTCCATTACCAAAAACGTAAATACCCAATAAAATAGTAATACTTTTGATTAATTAATACTTTTCTAGGAATCAACGAATTTCTGAAAATGAACTTCAGAAATTTAATTTACAAGGTGTATTTTTTTAGTACTTGTACGAACGTATAATTATTTCAAAAAATTTTCGAAAAGAAATTTAATTTCAGAAGTCAAGAGTGGTACGAACGATGTCGAGAATGGCTGATCTCAGCTGGCGGACGACGTTTATGGGAAAAGGATATGGTTTGGGGCAAAAATGAAAGTGACCCCAAAGTGGGTCTTATTTAAGAGATCTGCAATTAATTTTTGAATTTTTATAGGATAAGTAAAAATAACTATTGTTGGTAGTAAAATAATCATTATTAGCAATAGTTAATTAAAAGGTAATTAGTAAGGATAAGGTAAGGTGTGAAAGCATATTTTTATCTAGAACTTCAATATAAAATGAATTTTTTTCTTTATAGACATATAATCATCTGTTTGCTTTTCGTTTTCAACTTGGACTTCGAAATTATAAAACGCCAACTGATCATATGCGCAGTGCGATACTAATGAGAGAAATTTCAGCCAAATATGCAAGATTCAACATCACTACTTTTCATGAATACTATCCATTCGCAGATCAGGTATTAATAAATAAATGATCAGGTGTGAATAAACAGGTGATCAGGTGTGAATAAATAGATGATCGGGTATGAATAAGTAAATTTGAAACTACAGCTTCTCTTCTGTTCTTTTGCAAAATCGAACCGTAAAAGATCAGGTGGCGTAATGTTAATTATTATTTATTAGGACTATTCAGTCAATCAGTTAAGCAGGATGATTTTCCGGTTTATCATATTGTATATCGAATGTAATCATAGGACTAGTCTTGTTAGAATTTTCTCGTATTCCAGTTAATCCTTCAAATTTCTTCTTTGATAAGACAGTTTAATTTCTAGTTTTCAAAAATAATACGGAAAGATGTAAAGAACGGTTATTTGCAGTATATTGAACTGAAGCCAGCATTAATCAGGAATTGTTTACTGGCAATGCTATCTATGCTTATCGTATCGTTTATCATGATACCAAGTTGGATTGCTGCATTTGTCATTGCATTTGCAATTTTCAGCATTGATATTGGTATGTTGCTATAACAATATCTAAAATTTAAATTTTAACTTTTCTTTTATATTCAGAATAAGTAACAATTGAAAGGATGAAATTATAAAATCATTTGCTTTTTTCACATAACAGATATGATAATATGTCAAATATTCAAAAGTGATAGAGAAATTAGTATAGAAATATTGGACTCTTTTAAGAATTTTATCTATTGAAGAATAATTTATCCATTTAATTCGACGAACAAACACTTTAAACTTATTTCGGCTGTACAATTTAATAAATTCCAGAATACCTTTTAGTCTGATCTGTTTTATTGATTAACAGGGTTGAATAACGAGATCATATACATCTTTAAAACAATTAATTATTTTGCGGCATCTTGTGGGATGTTAAACATTAGAAATTTTCTTGGGAAGAAATTAATTGTAAATTTACAGGTGTAATTGGTTTTATGACATTTTGGGGTGTACGTCTAGAAAGTGTTTCAATAATAACAGTTATTATGAGTATTGGTTTTGCCATTGATTTATCAGCGCATATTGGTTATGCATATGTAAAATCGAGTGGAAATCGACATCAAAAGGCAATCAGTGCATTAGAAACTATTGGCTGGCCTGTTTTTATGGTATATTTTTTCATCAGATTTAACTTATCATCTTTGTTTGTGCTTATATTTTAATTGATAATGTCATGATAACATCAATTATGACTAGACCCTCTTTCCAAATGATACAAACGAAGTATCAAATTAAAATAAACCACTAAAAAATTGAATGGAATTTATATTAAATTTATATAAAATTAACAAATTACAGTGACAAATGAAAGAACGTACTTTCTTTTTAATTTCAGGGAGCTTTATCAACAGTGCTTGGTATTTTAGTACTTGCAACAGTTCAAGCATATATCGTACAAATCTTTTTCAAAACGGTATTTCTTGTTATTATTTTCAGTATGATACATGGTCTAATATTACTTCCAATATTCCTGACGATTATTTTAAAGTAAACAACATAAGAGTCAAAGCTAAATTGAGTAGAAAATTTTGGATTGAATAAACGTGGTAGTCTTGCCAGGATTAGTGAAAGGGAAGAGTATCACACAATGATAAAAAGAAAAGAAAGATAAACAGGGAGAAGTAAAAGATATAGCAACCTCCCATATTCATTAATACTTCCGCAGGTATTTTTATACTTCAACTATTTACGTTATGCATATTTGCAAATTTTGACTCCCAAATTGTGAGAAGGAAATTTTCATCTTTATTTGGCGCAATATGTAAAAACTTACAGCACATGTGAAATTATGCTATTGCAAAACTGCAAACTTTGCTTTTCCACTTCTTTTTTATTGTTAACAAAGTCCAAATCTTTTTGCTAGATCTTCAACTGTCTTATCTTAGTTAGGCACAGCTATAAATACACTGTCTAATTGTATTATTTAACTCATATTTATACAAAATAGTGAAACATTTTAATACTTTTGTATTGGAAATAAAAACATGAATTGATGGCAAAAATTCTTACGAATAAAATGTATATTATAGCAGTGTGTTTCATACTAACAATTCAACAAAACATTCCTATAAAAATTGAGTAAAATCACATGAGTTTAGAGCCTTTTTTTTTCATTTTTTTTTACGAAAAAATCATGACTCATTATTCGAAAAACTATATGTTACCTCACAAAACAATACTAAATATAAGTCCCTCAATCAACTAGAACAAGTTTGGGAGATAAAAACAATCTAAAAGATTAACAAAATCTTGTCAGATAGGCTATTCCTGATACTCATAGAAGCTGTTATCGTTTCAATACCAATGTCACCAGCTCATCTTCCAGACGTCGTAATTTCGATTTTGTCATTGAAGAGTAGAAGATGGAATACCATCGAACACCAATGGAAACCTCAAAATTCAGAAAGTGTGTTTAATAACACTGATGCAAAATATATAAGCAATCTATTCCTATCGTTCAAATAAATGAGATTATAGGGTAATTTTCTTTTGACAAAGTAAATTATTGAGATTAGAGATATAAGATTGTCAAAAGATGACTGATTCCATATTTTCAAGACGATATGGAACTAATAATAATAAATTGTAAGAGACCTTGGCAATACGAAGTGCAACTGCAAGACAAACAATGGCAATGGTTTGCGGACTATGTGACAGCACCCAGTATGGATCCACATGTGCATCACGCAATATAATAAATGATATAGCACCAATGTGAAATCTTGTAAATTCGTGCGGGCACCAATGCATCAGTGAGGAGATATAATGAAGCAAATACTAAAAATTAGAATATCAAAATGAGTATAAAACATGATTACGATGAATATATGCTATATAAATAACCAAAAATTCTTATAAATTTTCCTATCGCTTCACATGTAACAATCTTAATAACCTAACTCTGATTTAATTAAGCAAGTCATCAACAATTTAGTTGCTTTTAGACTCAAAATATTGGAACATAAATCCCCATTTAAATATATGTTCGTTATAGTTGAAAATACCAACCGATATCTTTCAGAATGACGTTTTCGTTGGTTAGCAAAATGCCAGTTAAAATCAATAATTTTAATCTTATAATTTTAAAGCATTATCATGTATAGCTACATTAATATAAAAGATTAACGTAATGATAATGAAAAAACACTACCTTATGAGGATTTTCCACAGCTAAACGAAATTTTAATAATCGTAGCACAATATATTCCATTCGTGAAAGACTCGTTCGTAATGCCCACGACTCGTCATCGATTTGTAGGATCGGTGCACAGGGATGTAGTATGCTCAATGCAAATCTAGTTAAGCCTTTGACTTTCGACTAATAACGCCTGATCACGTTGCAAAGTATGGTTCAATTCTGGAGTTGAGAGCTATGATACCCAAAATTTTGCACATGTGCTAAACTCATAACCGAAAAACTGTTGAAAAAGTCAAAACAAGGTTTTCAAGTAACCTGTAAGCAACATTCACAACATCTCTTGTTTTTACCATCTCATCTTCTTCTATTTTAGCTGCCAACAGAAGACATGCTGAAGCAATCGTCTGTAATAAAAGCATATGTAAAAGAAATGTCATATACTTTTGCACGTTTAATTTTAAAATATCAACTTCGTAGTATAATTTTAGTTCTAAAGAAACCCGGACTTCAAATTTTAAAATAGTTTTTAAAAATCAGAAAAAAAAACCAGTTAATGTATTTATCAGAATAAATCAGCTGAAGTATTTTAAATCTCTTTTTGGGAAGGAAATCCGAAATCCCTAAAGCAAAATAAAGTAAGCACAGCGTTAAAATTTAGAAGTTTGGTCATGGTCATAGCCACTCCCAATAGCCAAAGAAAAACGACATAATTTTTACCTTTGAAAAGCTTTAGTTTATCATCCACCTAGCTTTAATGGCTACTATAGCAAAACTTACGTAAGGACACAGTTCAGAAGCACCACTCTTCCTTAGTGTCCTATATGTTAAAACTGCAGCAGTACATATCGTTGAATTTTTCGCTTCTAATTTGATTCCTAGAATGAAAACAATAGATAAGCATAAAAGCTTCATATAAGCGTATATATATTGTAGACCAATTTTAATCCTTCCTAATTCGATACTGCCTTATTGTGATCACTCTCATTTTGCATACCAAATAATATAGAGGAAATTACAGTATATGAAATCATATAGATTTACTTACCAGCCTCGACAACAAATGCGAAAACCTTTCTTCGATTCCTTGAGCGGTCGTCCATCATGAAACAAACATTAAGGTTGATAAAGCCTTAACAAAAACTGATACATAGCATTAAAATCCATTATTTATATTTTCTTTGGTTTGCATACCAGTATAGAATGAGGAATAAGAGATGTACAGAACAAAGTTTATTTTTTATAAAAAAATAGATGAAAACACAATGTGTAAGAATAAATGACATTTAACAATGTAATTCAAACATGCAAACATTTAACAATGTAATTCAAACATTTATGAATTTTGGCACATTTCATCGGCATAAAATTAGGTTAATTGAATACTGCCTTTTCAACTTTTATGGGACAGTAATTAATGGTCAAATAACAATTGTGTGTTGTAACAAATCACTAACACTCTATCAAACGGAAGGATTATAATCCTAAATTACAATTAGTACAACCAATCAACCAACTAACAATTAAGGCTCACAAAAGATGATATCACATAACTGTGGTATAAATAGTATCCTCATTAGACAACGAATAAAAACCCAAAGATCGCAATGGTTTATCCAAATTCATCATAAATCCTTGACAATCATAAGCTTGAAGTGAGATCTGTAAAACTTTGGTAATCATTTTTTCCCCATTATAAGTGATTCATAAAAGATATTAACTGATTTACATACTTCAATACTTCATAATTATAATGAAAAAAGACATGAATTTAACAATACAACTTTTCAGAAAATAAAATAACAATAATTTCTTCGTCATTAATATCATAGATACAAAAGTTCCACAGATTTACTCGAGTACTGCTTTAACGAAGCTTACTTTTCTAGCATCAAGATGAAAAAGTCTGCTTGTAATACCGATTAAACTTTGTACAGTAAGTGTAGAAGGGAGTGAACGTTCCACGACTTTTCCTTCATACGACAGCTTTAATTTCAGTAAATCCATTCCACCACAAGAAAAACTGCTCGGTTCACCATGTATTTTGATTAATCTGCATTAAAAACACAACATTAGTGCTTAGAGAAATAAAATACAAGTACTGAAATCAATTTAAATAAGTCAAACAACAGCATACAAAAATTAATATCTCCTTTGCACCTTCATGCACAAAACTCTGTTTTCACGAAAGAAATTTGGTAATATTTGTTTATTTAAAAAGATATCAACGTGCTATCTTCTCAACTTTACTAACCTTTCTACAACAGCACGATACTCTTTCGTCGGCGAAGATGTACCGAATTTATTGAGAAAACGCATTTCTGCAGAATTTCTTTCAATGGAACTTATTTCTGAATTACTCAAGAATTTGAGTTGAGGTATGCAAGCAATAATGATTTCACGAAGATCAATTCCGGAATCAGCTTCATCATAATCATCAGAACAAGAATAGCATAATCTTTCCAGTTTTGGGAATTTAGCTAATTCAAAAATCCACTGTCTCTGAAAACGAAAATTTGTAGAACCATATAATATATATATCCATATTTCCACCAATCAGGTATTTAATTTTAAAACTATATTACAGAAAAAATCATTTCACAGACTTACATCTTTTATAGGATTGTCTTTAATGTTCAGCGAAGATAATGAACTGAACCAATTATCATCTGGAATGAAAATGTGACGCAAACCGCAGTTGAGCAGATTGAGCTTTTGAAGGCTAAAAATATATTTAACAACAATATTTCAAAAATAAAAAAAAAAAATATTCAAAAATATAAACAGTGTTAGGAATCAACTATGTTAGAAATCACTGCTTGGAAAATATAAAACAATTAAGGTGGTGAAATAATTACTTCGGTAAAGTCGATAAAACATAAAGATTAGCAAAATCGTTAATTGGATTCCCTTCTAAATCAATGCTTTCTAAATTATGACCATACACTCCTGGATCGAAGTATTCCAAATTATTTCGATTCAAATGAATTTCTCGTACATGTGGAAAGATATTCATAATTTTCCGGGCCTGACATTAACTTTGCTTTATGTGAAATTAATAGATTTTTAAAAGATGCTTACTTCATGAGTTACTGATGTAATTTATGTATTAATATTTGCTACATAAATCATATCTTTCTATTATGTTGCAATACAGTGGTGATATATGTTTTGTACGGAAACCTAAGAATACATATATAAAACTCACCACTTTCATTTACGAATAACCTAATTTAAAACAGTAAAAACTTTGATAACTAACTTAATAAAGAGTAATTCTAGTGAAAATAGTACCGTGCTTTCATCAATGCGACATTCACCCAGTGCTAACGTACTGATTGGAGCTGACACCATTCGTTCACCAGTGATTGATTTCATTCCTTTTTCCATATAATTGTGGCTGGAAATTGTAAATTCAAATCAAAAAAAAAAAAAAAAATATGTACATAATCCTTTGATTATACCAAACTTACCCTTGGGAACAATAATTAAAATTATGAAAGAAATCATAATATGCCATTGTATATCAGATTAGGAAAGCCTAAATTGTTATGCGCAACGAGATTTTACGCTATAGTTTTTGATTATTATTCCACTAATAAATAATACAATTTTGCTGCATCTGAGTTCATCGCCTATTTCAGTACTGCTATACATATTCCAAAAGACGTCCTTCTTTCAAACACAATATCGAAGAGTTGGACAGTCTTTACACTAATCAATACAGAAACATAGAATCGTAAATAGAAATTATGGACAAACAATATTATTTGAAGAAACGCAGCATATACAAGAATTACCACTTGTTATGTCAGTCAAAGATAAGCAAGATTGTAGCATAAGCCTGTAACTGATATAATATCAAGTCCTAAATGTAACCTTGCAATAAGGAAGCGTAATGATGGGAAAAAGCAGAGAATATCCAACAAATTACACCATTTTGATAATAAATTGTTGTAGAGATTAAGTTCCGTACAATACTTGAAAAGATTGCAACTGGTTGGTGGAGCTTTCGCAACTTTCATGTTATCCAATGCTATAACTCGCAATTCCCATAGATTACTGAAAAAAAAAAAAAATATTATACGAAAATAATATTTCATTAAAATTTATTTATAATCATCGATAAGATCGCTCGCCACTGAACACACAACTTTTCCCCAGAATGTAATGCAATGAAGCATAACATGACCATATATAAACTCTTCAAAAAAAGCATGACTAATAAATCTACGTAGAATTACTGTTTTCTTTGTGGTCTATTTCTAAACACTCATATTAAGATTACCATCATAATTTTTATTTTTACCCTCATTTAAAAGCTTTTTAACATATCAAAGCAGACTTCTGCTTCCTGTATATTTTCGCCATATCCACAAGATCCACATTTTTTGATCCAAATTCGACCATGTCACACTGCTTGTAATTGATATATCTATCGTTCATTTCCTCTAGCAAATTTTTCCCTTCCTTAATTGTGTTAGGTCGAACAAATGAACCACTTTTCGAAGAACTGTAAAATCCTTCTGGTACAACGTGTCTTTTGCACTATGTCATCTTTATAAATTGTTATTGCTCACTTTTTTTCTTCGTATCCACAACAAGTGAATAATTAGAACCAGAACATAGGATATACAAATAAAGTTAATGACAATTTATTTGTCACTAGCACATAAATATAAACATTCCTTTTAATTTAAAAGAAAAATAATTAAGTAACGAACAGATTGAAACTTGAAAAAGTGATCAACCTAGCTTGAAAATATCGTTTCCCTTTCACGGCACCATCATGCTTTCCCCGTTCAGGATTGTCCCAATCAATACCAACCCATTCTCCATCATATCCCTCAACAGCACCGATATAACTTATCATACCCCGATCACCACCGACTTCAATTCGATCACCAATAGCGAGTACCATTGTTATGCTATGCTACTAAACTTGATTTCCTCAGCCTCATTTCTTAATATCTGAAAAATATCAAATATTTCCTATTTACATACCATGCTTTCGACTTTTATTAACCGCTTTCATCAAAACAAAGACGGCCGTCAACCTCAGCAATCAGTGCAATTCAGTTAAGTAGCATAGACTTGGAGGATAATTACCCAAAAAATGCTGAGATTTATTCTAAAAAAGTTAAATAAGTCGATAGTGTAAAATGAATTTTCAGAATGATCAATTAACGCATATAAACGTCGCAATATATTTATGAATTCTTTGCGTAAATTAGAAATTTATTGAGATAACAATTTACAGGAGGAATGCGAAGAACACAAAGCAGGAAATGAAATTTTTCTTCAAAAAATAAAGTCCTTCAAACAGCTCTATATCAAACTAAATATTTCATGAGTCTAGTTAATAAAATCACCAATTTCTAATATGATGTCCTTGATGTTATCGATCCGACATTACAAGACTGACTTTGCCTTTTGGTCACTCTTCGATTCATTACCGAAAATAAATAAATTTGTAAGGATAAGGCAGCATAAAAAATTATAACAACCAAAGTATATGAAGACATTTGCCCATTCACAGTAAAAATATCACAATAATAATTACAAAGATCTCGAACAAATGACACGAAAAACCACTTAGCACAAATTGTCCCAAATACAAACAGCAAGAGATACACATACTATCAGTTCAGTGGAAACAAACATGACAAGGTGACACTTCCTTGCTCAACCAAGGCCATGATCCTCAAAGAATCCTTGCGGTGTTTCTTCCTAAAATTGAGGTATAAAACAAATAAGTGAGTATTAATTGAGTTTCGAGATAATCAGCCATTGAATGCAGATTAATCATATATACCAAGACATCTAAGTTCCTGATTAATTGCAACGACCAAAAATGTATCTCAGTCCTGAATTCTTATAGCTGGTAACAAGAAAAAAGAAGTCGATTTTTTCTGACAACAAAAAAAAATTGATAACGTTATTTCAGTATGTTTCGTTGATGCATACTGAAATAACGATTACCACCAGTGTGACTACTAGAGATGACTTTACTAATCATTCACCTAACTCCTGCATGACAGCTGCTTCCGATGAAATTAATTAACAGTTTTATAACGAAAGTATAGTGCAAACCTCTTGAATGAGATCTTGAGCTGCGATTGCCTTTAAAACCTGCTTTTTACTTGTTTCCTGTATTTCACCCGCCAACAAGAATTCATCCAATATAAAATAAGCCTTCTCAAAATTGAAAATAATATCTAATTCGCAAACCTGAAAAAACATAAAAATTTTTAATATGCCCGCCAAGAAAACTTAGTACTTTTTTGCGAAGCAATAAAATATAAGAGAGGATTTATCATTATCCCGATTCTAACAATCCTACAACTTGCAAACACAGAATCTCAAATTGATAAACATTATTTTCTCTCCGCTCTGTGCAGAATTCTGCAAATTTTTGACGACAAATTGAGTCAAAATGAATTAAAAAAATGCGCATAGTTTGAAGGCTACATTTTGAAATAAAAAGGATTTTTGAATAAAAACATAGATAATGATAACAGGAACTTACGCTGCCAAAATACTTATCCAGTAGTTCAACAAATCGATGTATAATTTCTAAGCATAACAATTCGTTGTCTGTTTGCTCAATTGCACAACAAAAGTAGAGCGATGCATACCTGAACAAGAATTAAGAATTAAAGAGTGTTAAAAATAATCTCGAGATCCAAAAATGCTTTTCAATAAACAACACGACAAATGAGAAATGGAATCATAACTTTATTCTCAGGTTGCAGTAAGAATGAGAAAGCACCATTATGAAACGGCGAAAGAGGACTGAAAAACTACAAAATATGAATAAAAATGAACAGCCTATAAAAAACATAACAAGATTAATTTATGTCAATTAATATATTCATTGCTAACCTTTTATAAACGATTTTAAGGTCCTTGTATTCTAGAAACGCACACATTTTCGGTTTCCGAGCCAAAATTGTTGTAACCAATTCTCGAGTGATTTTCTTCTTTACCTGCAAATAGCTAGCATTTCAATCCGTTCAATCCAAGAAGTCTTATTTCTGAATTTTCTCCTACTATTGAATAATTCGCTTATTTAGGCTCGGTCATTTTCTCATTTTCTTTATATGATTTGCCATCTATTTTCAATACTGCTTGCTCTACACTTTATTTCCACACTGTTTATTTATTTGTTGGTTTTCTCAAATTCTGTTTTCTTTTGCTTAAACTGCACATTAGAAGATTTGGACTGTAACAAATCAAACAAATTATTTTGTTTTTATTGTGATAACTTCTTAAAAAAAAAAAATATCATGAAACCGTACATCATGCATATCATCTATCTTATCATAACCGGTATTATGCACTCATAGCAGCAGAATAAACCATATATCGTTCATCATATCTTGCCTATCACATATTCTTAATCCAAACATACTCTAAAATTCTAGAAACGTTACTAGTATAAGCATGTGCCGTCAAACTTATCATTAACTTAGCATATATCAAATTTTTAGTATACCACTTATCTTCTTTTATGTCACTATTCCTATCATTTATCAACGATCATATATCATAGAATATTTATCACTAACCTTATCCTGATATGCCACATACCATTTCTGCAATCGTAATTTCCCCTGTCTGCTGAACAATAACATGAACTGCATCATTTCGCTAAACTTTCAAAATGAAATTACAGAAAGTATGAAAATTAATGATATGCAGATAGTTCAGGATCAGAACTGATTTGATAACTAACATAACTTCCCGGACAATGTGCAATTATTATGGCAATTAAAATAAATGATCGTATCAACTAAATAATTTGATAATTTCCGGATTCTGTTCCTCAGCATAAGCTCTCTCTAGCAAAAAATATAACTTAACACTTCTATTTCTCATCTATCAATTTAATTTCTCCCCATGGGAAACCTATCCTAACCCTACCCGTCACATACCCAGCTGAACTAATTTGCATACGTACGACTGACTATTGTGCTTCATGTTCCAATTCAGAGTTCTAAAACGAGAAATCGTGAACGATATAGCTGGGATCAATACTACTTCTACCGGACAGCTCCGTTCTCCGTTTACTGACAGCCGTTTGGGTTAACCGAGTTAATTGTTCCTGTGAGATTAGCAGAAATTTCAGGATTGTTAGATTTCCCTTGATATTACAAAATTTTAGAGTTATTTTATTTCTTGTTTTAGTTGAAGATTTTTAAAGTGAAAGTAGCACGTGTATACGTGAAGAATTGACGTTTGTTTGTATATGTATGCTAAGAAAATAAGTGGAATAAAGAGTATATATAAACATTCTCATTCATTCTATCCAAATACTTCTAAGCAAATACTTTTCTTTCTCCAAGTATACCACTGTGTAAATTCTTGTCTAATCCAATCAAACTAGTTTTCAAATCGAGCTAAATTTCTGAATTCAACATAAACTGTATACTTAATACTTTATCTTATTATCCATTCGCAAAACTTTAGTGGAATAAAATGGATAGAAAGTATTTGTATACTTAAGAGAGTTCCGGGGAAAGAATGAAGCTTTCGTAAGCGTAATGTCATTTTGATGATCTTAACGACATTGACATATTATATTTCGTTAGATTTATTTTGTCACGATATGAAGTTAGATTTACTTGTTTTTTCTTTTTTTTTTTCTCTTCTTTGTTATAGAACGAGAAAAAATGGAATCACCAGAAACACCAGTTGCTCCAACACTTTTTCGCCCCCTCCAGTCGATGATTATAGGTACTTCAAGTGGAACAGCACATGCACCAAGCAGCATCCATTTTCAGGTAATTTTTTTCTTCGTTTTTAAGGTTTTTACATAGGCATTTACGCATTAATTTTTATTTTTAAAAAATTTTTCAGTGATTAATTGTTTTACTGTACTCTTGATTTTTCCATTTATGGCAAAAAAAAAATGTTTTTCAGTATATTTTTTTTTCGATGACTGTTTTATGTGTGCTATTAAATGGAAATTAAAACATAAAGGCTTGATATGTTAGTTCCTTTTCCGTTCCCTTACTTGGTTTAAAAGTAGGTAAATATGAAATTTTAGTCGTTTTTTTTTTTTAATTTCTGAATATCCGCTTACATTTTTAAAAATGGATTATAACCAGTTGTAACAAAATTCATAAGAAGAAGGAAGAAAAGGTTTTTAATAGTAATTAGGCTTTCGATTTCCAAAGTATGACAAAATTTCATCCCTTATTTATTTTTCAAAGACACTTTTTAATTGAAAAGTATTTGTGTGAAATATCTCTTTGCTCTGATGATTATTTTGCAAACGTTTCCTGGTCTTTTTTATTGATTACTTCTATTTCTTTGCTTTAGCGTCCTAAAACGACAACTTTACCACATAGATTCCAACTTTTAGAAGGCTTTATTGCCGAAGACATTTGTAAACCATCCATCAACTTCACGTGCATGTACTATTGAATCACTGACCGATAATGTTCCTGATCGGCCGGAAATATTTTCTCAGCCGAAAAGGAAATCACGTTCTGTCGCTGACATATTCGCTAGTATCGATAATGATAACGGTTAGTGTTATTTTTTGGAAACCAGTTTTAACTTTTTTTTGACAGTAATTATGTCTAACATTTTTTATGAGGATGTTATTGTTACCTGAATGTTATTGTTGCTTTTACTTTAAATCCACTTGATGCAAATTTTAAAAATATATGGTTGCAGTTTTCTTCATACTATGGAAGAATCATTGCAGATGATGTTCGGTTTCGTCATGATGATATGAAACCGCAGAAGTCACTTGTGGTTGAATCAAATTATGATTACACTCCAAAAAGGAAGGATGAATTGAAACTGAAGCGTGGAGCAACGATCAAAGTGATACGTCAAGATGGGTTAGGGCATGGAATATTTATGAGATGAGCTAGGATTTTTTGTCTTTTGTTCGATAGTAACATCAAATTTTATCTCAGTCACCGATAATGCAAGCTGATGGAAAAGATTAAACCGAGTGGCATAGCTGTTTGCCACTGTACTGAATAGCATATAAGTTTGGAAATCTGATTTCAGGCATATAGTGGACAATATGTATGTAAATTCTTGTTTTGTCAAAGACTTGATGATATTCGTGGTGTAGCTTAAACTTTTTGAATGGAGCAATTGATGAGTAATGTTATTGACATCGAATAGTTGGGGAATTGGACTTATTTTTATTATTCAGGGAAGAAGGTTGGTGGTATGGAGAAAAATTGGATGGCAGTGGAAAGAAAGGATTTTTCCCACAAAATCATGTGCAGTTAGCAAAGGGTCTGGCGAAGGAAATCGATCCAAACGATATTCAGTTTACTGGTTTGTTAGGTGCCGGTGGCTTTTCAGTTGTGAAATCAGCAATTTATAAAAGACGAGTAAGAATTTTTATGTCAAATATTGAATTTCTTTTTCTGAGATAAAGAGGACAAGAAGAAAACAACACATCGTTATTAATCTTTTTTTTTTTCACTATATGATTGATAAAAACCTTATCATTTGACGCAAATTTGAAGTTAAAGAAATATCATCCACAAAATTAAATTAATCGTCAAATACATTAGCTTCACTGAGTTACTGGTACTGAAGGTTTAAGATTGTACTTTGATCTATAAACTGTCTGAAATCATGCTTCATTTAGTATAAGTTTTATGCCTAAAAAAATTTATCGTATTGACTGTATCACCTTGAATGATCTGTTTTTAAAAATTTTTTTCGAGTGCTTAAATATGGTCTGTTAAACATCCATTTCGAACACTTTTTCTGCAGGAAGTAGCTGTGAAAATTCCACATTCAAAATTTAGCAAGAAAGAAATATTGGAAGGTGAGTATTATCAAGTTAAGTTTGGAAACTGCATTGAATTTTGCACGAGCAAAATATTTATATTAATATATTAATATCAAAGAACTCAAAATGAAAGGATAATGATAAAAAAATAATGATTTACCTTCGAAATAATTAGCTAGCAATGCTGATAGCCAACTAATGAATGTGTTGTTTGGGATGAATTTTGCGCTTCATTGCATCATGAAGAACTTTGTTGTATAGATTTTCAATTATTAAGGCGAGAGGAAACGAGATTCATGATAGCAAAAAAGTTTTACTTTTAGAGTGAACAGTGTAAAACCTTTTGGGCTGGTATATTTAATCCTAGTCTAAATATATTACAAATATTTCAGCAGTTCGTGAGGAGGCTAGTATTTTTCAAATGTTGGATCATGGAAATATTGTTGAAATGTATGGTGTTATTGTTGGCGATGAACCTGCCTTAGTTCTCGAACTTTGTAGAGGTTAACTATAAATTTAGATTCAGTACTCATGAAATTTTGGTAAAACTCAGTATTCAATAACTTAACTTTCAAAAATGACTATTACGATTTTTACAATGTATTGTTTTAGATTCACTGGCAAAAATATGTTCTAGTAAAAAGAACATATCGCTCTCCGAAGAGATCATAAGTAATTGGGGTATTCAAGTTGCTCGTGGAATGAGTTATTTGCATAGTTTGAATGTTCTTCATAGGGATTTAAAGGCGGCTAATGGTAATTGTTTCTTTTAGTTTTATTTTATCAGAAATTTATTTTGCTTTTAGTTATAATGATTGAAAATTGAAAATAAAAATTTCCGGGAACTTGTTTATTTAGATAACATAATTAATTGTCAGTTGTTTAAATATAGTTAGTGTCACATTTGGTATCATTATAGTATTTTCGATGGACTAGATAAATTCAGTATGTTATATTGTATTTTAGGTTATATTTGAAATGTATTTTAGTGTGATGTGAATAACGTTCTCGATTAAGTAAAAAACTCCTGTAATTCAGCATGGACTAGAACAGCTTAACTTATATTTTATCTTATGCACTGTCATTTTGCACTTTTTTCTACAATGTTATTTGGATAGAAAATTTTCTTCATTTTCCTTCCCAAATGAAAATGTTGTATTTCAGTTCTGATCAAAGAAAAAGTTTGCGACTGTTTATTGAATGTGGAAGCAAGTAACGATGAACAGTTAGCTCATTCACTACAAGCCAAGAATGGTGTATGCCATAAATGTGGTGGTTCAGCGCTAAACTGTCTTACATTAAAAATCGCTGACCTTGGCTTGTCGAAGAAGTTGAGAGTTGCTGACTGCAGGTAGTCTTATCTAAAATTTATGAAAGGAGATTGAAATTTCCGATTTACTGATCACTTTCTTTGTAGAATGTTGAATACTCTGCATGGGATGCGAAAAGATTGTGTTTAAACGTTCTTAAACAGTTAAGTTTTTCAGAATGAGCGTTGTGGGTACAGTACCGTATCTCGCACCAGAGGTTATCCGTGATCGTAAATGCTCCAAAGCAATGGATGTTTGGAGTTTTGGGCTCGTTCTTTGGGAGGTGTTGACGGGTGCAACACCGTTCGAAGGTTTGGGTCCTGGTGCTGTGCAACTACAGGTTTCGTTTATTCTTCATGTTGATCTATTTATTACTGATGGTACATCATGCAATTAGCACACATATATGTGAACAGTTTATGAAGTATTTTACAGATTGGAACATTTGTAAAACAAAAAATCCCTTCTTCGTGCCCACCAGATTTGAGGCTAATAATTGAAAGTTGTTGGCGTGACGATCCACTGCAGAGGCCAACATTCAAAGAGTTAATTGTTGAACTGGAGAAATTTGGCATCAAATTCCGAACAACGGATCCACATGATCAGACGGTAGAATCTTTTGAAAATTCTATGAAATATTGGAGATGTAGTTTTTAATGAAATTCTAGTTGTTTTAGATCAATTTTCAACTAGACATAGTAATGACATCAAATGGATTAAATAGGATGATATGCGTTTCTTTTAATCCATTTGATGAGAACGAACTTGCATTTTGAGATTTGTTTGGTAATCTATAAATTTATACTGTGTTTTGCAGGATTTTATGATTATTTGATCCTAGAGAAATTGATATCTATATTTCCTCAAATTTTAGTTTTTGGAAAACAGTTTGAACACGTTACGGAAAAGTATGATGGAAGAAATATCATCAATTGCAAGCGAAATGGCCCGAAAAGCGGAAGAATTACAGAAACGTGAAGAAAAGTAAATCTCTTTCGAATTTTTTTTTTTTTTTTGGGAGAGCGGTGAAGAGAAATGTCTTTTAGTCCTTTGATTTTCATTAATCATTTTTTTGCAGCTTAAAGAAGGGTGAAAGAGAACTGAAACTTAAGACAATGATTTTCGAATTGCAACAGACACTCTCAGAAAGACCGCCAAAGGAAAAACCACAACCACCAAAAAGGCGCCAACATTTGAAGTGCGAGGATATTTCTAAACCATATGGTATAATTTTTCTTACAACTTTTTTAATTTTCGAATAGGTTATATATTATTTCTACTTATTAATAGTTATAATCATTGAGATGCAATATACGTTCTTGTACTGTTTCATCTTCTATGCAAGGATTTCTTTTTTTATTAAAATACTGAGCGAGTGTAATGACTATTTCACTACCAGAAATATCATATATAGAGTGCGAAAATGTAGTAAATTTTTAGATCTCAAAACCGAGATTTCATTAACGAAGAATATGCAAATGATTGAATGTAAGTGTTGATTTTACATTTTTTAATAAAATAGTATTTCGAATACTGTTTTATGTTTCAGTGCAAAATTATTACCAATTTAATAACTTTTTATTTCACTAACTGTTTTCTGTTGTGAAATATTGGTTCGATGTTGTTGTTATTGGATTCAATTTGCATAAGATAAATATCACAGCATTTTATACGATAAATATCACAGCATTTTTTCCTGTTATTGTGTTCAGTGTGAATGTTGCTAGTTCCCAGTGATGGCGTTAGGAAGACATTAAAAATGTTCATCAGCGGATGTTCATTTAATAGGTATAGCAAGGATTTACTAATTGCTATATGTGATGTTGGAAATTGTGTTTGGTATTTGTGAATTTGTATTTTTAGCTCTTAATAGAGATGTTGGAACAGGAACAGCATTGAACGATATCAGGATAAACGGTTCAACGGATCAGTTATCTCTTGCGTCAAACACTAAGTGTGTCGACGATACCTGCTTAGGATTTGCCACACTTCCTCGAATCCCAAAAAAATTTACACTGAAAACTGAGAATTTTGATTGTGTTGAATCTTCTCCGGTGCAGCAACGAGGACCATCGAAGAGTACGCCGGATCTGTTAAAGCTTTATCGTCTACCAGTTCATAACGCAAGTCCCAAGTTGAAACGTGTCAATGCGTGTAAAGTAAAGCGTGAATCGACTCGTACCAGTGCTGAGGAAGAGGTAGACGAGCGATGTGTAGAAGTAATAAATGATAAAGGTTGGTTAATTGTAACTTCGTTGCTTGTTTGCACATACATTCTGATATTATCAGTTTGTGGAAAAAGACGCATGCTAAATATTTTTTTTTTCTACTTATTCATTTCTTCAATTTGTTGTTATAGGTATTTAGTGGGCTTAGTATTAAATATTATTTCTGTTAAAATGGATTATAGAAATTTCGATTTTGAAGCTAAGTTGTGCTATTTAATGTATTCATAAATGTAGAATTTTTCAATATATGCATTTAGTATTCCTTACAATTGAAAGAATAATATATAGAGATTCTTTCATATTCATATTACAGATCTGGAAAGTCTTCTTGAAACTACTGCTCACCAGCAAACAAAGACTTTCTTAGATCATTTGGCAACACCACGACGTGTCGTGCAGTTACCACCATCAACAAAGAATTTGGCTGCCGACCATCATATAAAGTATATCGTTCTTCTTTTTTTTTTTTTTAAATTTTGAGCGCACTTTCCGTGCAGCCACAATTCGGGATTTAACTACAAATGAAACTTTATGTGAACTATCTGAATAAGTCGGTAATTGAGGAAGGAAAAGGGAAAGAATAAAGGGAATATTTTGTTCGTATAGAAATCTTCCTATATTTTATCATTTTATCATTCGCATTGTAATTTTGCAGTGCTGTAGAATGCCACATCTCTTTCTGGGAAATATAATTATACAAAAGTAAACTTATATATTTTTGCATTTCTTTGAATAAATTAACAAAAGGGGAAGGTTTTAGATCTACTTCCACAGCTGATGAGCGAGCACGATCAAAATTAAGCAAAGAAGAAGATCGAGGATTCTTTCGTAGCATTTTCAAGCGTGATACTAAAGATCGAAGTGGTATGCTACATTTTTGACGTATGATGGGATTTACCGATTTTAGTGTGCAATAGTAAAATTACTATTTTGTGAATGTAAATCTATGAATAATTTATACCTATGAATAAGGAAAGTATGGATTATTGTCACTGATCATACTGATTACCTGAAACGACATCTATTAAATCGGTTTATTTTTATTCCTAAAATACCGGAAAGTTTCTTGATATACTGTTTGATGGACGAAGTATGTGTGAAACTGTAAGCTTTAATACGTTTCAGTGAAGTTTCATTCTTTCATTGTTTTTGCTTTTGTAGGACAAGTTGCTGGAACATTTCCGAAATCAATGATTGCTCGATCACCTTTGGGTCCATCCACAATCGGACCATCCGCAATTTTGAAAGTAATTATAAAAAAGAAAGCTTAGTTAGGGATTTGAGCATGTGCATCAAATGAAGTTTTTTGAGTAGTTTGTAGACCACAATGTACTCTAAACTTAGCTTGTTTCTTCACTACTATTCTTTCTATAATAGAAGTGAACTACCTCCATAGCTTCATGAGAAGCAATTTTTTAACAAATTGTATGTAGTATACAATCATAACTCCTAAATTAGTTGCAGAATATAACGCCATCAAAACATACTAGAATAAAAAGTCCAACGAAGCCATCACCAACAAAAGCTGGGAAGTAAGTTATTTTATTTTTTTCTCTTTACTTAGATTATTTTCAAAAAAAGAAAAACTTATTTTTGTTGTTGCCTCTTGAGGTTGCAACATATTGGATAGTTTCTCTGGTTATTAGAGTACGTTCGTTTATGTTTGATATTTGATTTATATTTGATTGGATAGTGCTGGATTTCATGTTGTTTTTTCTACTATCCTTTTTCTAGTTTGATTTAATTAGCACTTATTCGTTGCAATTTTATGGGAAGTCAAGTAGAAGAGATGAAAAGATTGAAGCATATTTTAATAACATCATGCTCTCACTAATTCATGTGGGAAATTTTTTCTGTTTCAGAAAGAAAAAGTATTCTACAGAAAGCAACAAATATGACTTGACCGAGAATTCGAAGTAAATTTCCGCTTTAATTTCCAGCTTAATTTCAAAATAAATGTAGTCGCTGAAGTTGAACTTTTTTCATAAAACTTGAAATTTTGATTGATTCTAGTAGTCATTTGTAATATCTTGATCTGTTGTTACAGAACATTTACAAAATCTGGCGAACGGCGAATTAGTGCAACTCCATCTCAAACCAGTGCTGTATATCCGGTGAGCAGTAGTCCAGTATCGGTTTATTGTTCGAGCGATGAGTTGTATTCAGCTAAACGAGCACCATATGAAAAATTATCTGAAGCATCAGATCCAGGAATGATGGAGAATCCGTTATATATTCTGCCGAAAAATTTTCCACCACGTGGTCGAGCATCGACATCTACATCTCGAATTTTTTTCAAGTGAGTTTTGTCTTAATTCCGAATAATTCGCAAAATAATCATGGGTAAATTAAATTAGTTTGAGTTTTTGTAGTCAAAACTGAGTTAAATTAGCTTAGAAGTTAATATCGTGGATATGAGACAAAGCTTAGAAGTTAGTATCTCTTATGAGTTAACCTTAAATAATCAACAAAAGCACTGCTGTTTTTGTTTTTTGTTTTTTTTTTTTTTTATCTTGTTTTATTTTTCATTTGTCTCATAAATCACTTCTTTCAGTACAACTTCTCAGCGTTCCTCAAAAAGTCCTTCTTTCTCTACTTCATGTGATGGTCGACTTAGTAATAATGGTTTGAGTACAATCGAAAATCTTTCATACAAACCACCAAATGAAATGAAAGTTTCATGCAGCACTCTGACACAAAGTAAGTTTTGTTTTAAATTAATTTGTGGCAAAAGAAGAAATTTGAATTAATTGGTAGTTTTTTTTTTTGAAATTAACGGTATATTCATAGGATCAGATTTACTAAAATTCATCGGTAATAAAATACTCTATATCTAACATTATCATTTTTGAGAATCGGATATCAGGTTAAATTTTGGTGGTTGCTATTATTTTCCAAAATGTCACTGTAATAATTTTTTAGTGAGTTTGTAGGATGCTTGTCGAAACGTTATAAATTCCCTTTTTGTGTAACAAGTTTAATCAGCTTTAAAAAATTTAGTTTTTCTTTTTTATTTCAATTTAGAAAATTTATGTCTTTGTTCTTATATAAAACTTCATTTTTCAGTAACCTTGGACAGTCCTGTTGAAGGTGGCTTGGATATAGATGCTACAAAGCATTCAGTCAATTCCCTTAACAGTGAAAGTGGTTTGTTTTTGATTTATACTTCCTCGATATTTTTCTTCTTTTTCAAACATTTCTGTACAATATTTTGCACATATTAATGGCACAACACGGACTATTTTAAAAGCGACTAATTTTTCCAAGTATGCTTGAAAGGAAACGAGATTTTTTTAGCTTCATTCTGTGACGACTCATCATTTTTTATCGATCGGTCATTACGTGGTACAACATTGAATGTAAGCAATTCATATATACCTATGTCAGCAACCGAACAAAATCTGGTATATTTTTTAATAAAATGCACTAATGTAGTAGAAATTAATGCCACAATTTCAGTATTATTAAAGTGAAATTGTATACAGTGTTTCGCTATTCAGAATTTAAATAGGATTATTTTAAAATTGCAATTATGAATTAAAATATGTTATGATAATTCTTCTTGAATAAAAATTAAATTGTAATAATGTATCAAGTTGGAAATTAAATGCTAATTTTTTATAGCTATCTCCGCCGTTTCTTGATCACTGTAACGACCAGAAAGAAAGTTTTGTTCTTGGTGATGCTATTCATCATATTTCTGAGAGGTGAGGTTTTTTTTTTTTTTTTTTTTTTTTTTTTTTTTGGCATTTTAGAAAATCCAGAAAAAAAGATTTGTATGGGCACAAAGTAATTTACAGAATGGTGAAAAGTGCTGAAATAGAATTGTCTGAGAAGGATGTAATTATCGAATTTGCGCTCACAAACTTTTTTAATTCCTCCATTTTAATACTTGACCAAATTAAATAAATATTGCAGTGAACAAGGTCCACCCGAAATACAGGCACCAGCCTTACCTGGAGCAGCCGTAGGATATCGACCACAACGACCATACACGCTGGATCTCACTTCGCCACCTACTCCTGCTGAAAGTGGAATAAGTACTGCAGGAAGTTCTTATCGTAGTTTTTCGAGCGTTGATCAAGGACTACAAGATCATGCTCCACCGACTTCTGTGGATTCCGGTGAAATTTTATTTTCATGAAATTGCATTATCGTCCCTGTTTACACCCAACTTTTTTTAAACTAGAAAACATGATCTATTTAAATAAATCTAGTATCTTGTTTATTTTTATAGATTTGTTTATTTACAGATATTTGCCATGAATGTAGTGTCTAATGAATGAAATGTTATCAAAAATATCAGTTACGGACATACATTTTTAAGGAATTTTTCCATTTTTGTGAGAAAATTTTCACATAATATAAAGCATGAGATAATTTTCAGTTCCACATCTGGCCCCACCAATACCACCACGAAATATTGCAAGGCGTCCTGAAGATGAAGCTTTGCAACGTCAACGATTAAGTCCTGTTTCTCAATCGCCTTAAAAGTTAATGTTGCAAGTGTGTCTTTGATTTTTATCATCGACCTCTAGTGATGCTAAAGCTTATTTTTTATTTTCTTCTTCGTTGTTTGTTTGTGAAAATTAACCATCTGTTGTGTAATTTGTCATTCTAAGTCATTCCTTATAGTGCGTTGATTTAACGGAATATTCATGGAAAATGGATAGACTTTTTAATCTTCTTTTTCTTTCATTCCTCTTTATTTTTCCAAATTGAAATTCGGAAATTGAAAAGCTCCATTACAGTTTCCATCTCTGACATCTGATTGCTCCAGATGTTTTATATGCGTGTAATGTTATACAGTGCAACTTTCTCATTTGTTTTTGTTTATCACTTCCTGTTGCTTTCTTATATCTGTCCAGTTTTGTGATTAACGAAATCCGGTTTTTCAGGTGAAAAATTGTTTGATTGATTTGTAAATTGAAGGTCATTTAACTTGTAGGCATTTCAGATAATTATAATTATTCCGGTTATAATAAAATCATTGTAGTGATTACTTTAGTGGATCTTGGTTACTTTAATTATTCAAACCATCTGCTTCTCCGTGATTTAGGACTTCGAAAAAAAGAAATGGCTCAACCGCTTCAAAATGGGAGGAGTAATAATACAGTTATACACCTTTTCTTTTGATGTGACTAAATTGAGTTTATTAATTGGGCTTTTCCAGATTTTTATTCAGCTGTCCATGGCTGGTTCATTTTAATACAACATTATCGTGAATCAATTCAGATTATTTTTTCTTTAACTATTAAATCAAGATAGCATTTTTTTTTTTTTTTTGTTGTTGTTTAAAAAAAACGAATAATATCTAAGCGGATTTTCTGATAACGTAAACAATGCAACTTTTCTAGAATATCACTACTGGACAATAGTATATAGCCTATATTTGCGGCACCTAATTATCATTTCATTTGTTGCTCTTTTGCTTTTTTTTTTTCTTTTTTTTTTTTTGCTACTCTGTAGTGTGTGTTACAAAGTATTTTGCAATTAAAGAAAAAAAAGCTAATTGATCATTATGTGATGCATAGTCACATTTTGTTAATGTTAATGCATATATGTTGTACAGTAGGATTGTTATAAATAAATATTAATATAATAAAAATTACATTGATACTTATTTCATTAAGCATGCAGATTATGCTATATATTTGTTAAAAATCAAAAAAATTTTTAAACTAAGATCTCACCTATAAATAGTTCCATTCTCTTAGACATTTCTAGTTGTTGCTTTCATATTCCATAAAAGATTATTATTAATTTGATCATATCCAATGGATGCATTATTTTCTTGATATAATCAAAAATTAAATGGATGAATATTCCTTGTATAACATACATAAAATATCACTAACGATACAGGTATACATGATGATTAACTGATCGTAGCTTACAGATGTTTAAATTACTCAAGTTGAATATAAAATATTCATTTATACCGTGTAATTATATTACTTTGGCACTTATTTACGAATTGTTTGCATCGTTCATTATTTCTGTGATTTCTGCATTTTATAACATTATTTTTGTGCAAGTTTTATTTAAGAATTATTTCTTTTTTTTTCATTTTTTTAAGGTAAGAAAGGATGAATAGCATAACTGTTATTTGTCCCAATTCTCGTCGTTGTGTGGTAAAAGTAACACCATCAACTCAGCTTCGTAAGGTTTGGTTCTTAATAATTTTGATGATTTTATAAATAATTAGTTTATTTACTAGAATAGATACTTTAGAACCAACCTATTTCATTATATTTCAATTTCTAATTAGCTTCAATTCATGGTTTTTCGTGCAAATTTAGCTGTTTTTTTAAATTGATCCTTTTTATTTAGTACATTAAAAGTTTTTTCAGGTTTTGGAAGAAGCTTGTTTGAAGCAAGGTTTCGATATATCAGCACATCAGTTAAAGCATCAAAATCATACGTTAGATTTGGCGTTACCACTTCGTCTTACTGGTTTACCCAATAATGCTACCGTTGAGATGGTGCAAAGTGCAAGCATTAGTAATGGAATTCCAGGACAGATTCATATTGCCTTACAAGTATGAGTATTTCAATTTATATATTTGTAGATTAATCTGAGATGATTGAATGATTATATATTTGATGCAGTTGTTTATATATTTGAAGCATATGAGTTTTCCTTTTCTGTGTATTATAAATGTGTATGCAATAACTGTAAATAATTGCAATGTTGCTAGATATAAGCTAAGGTTACAATGTAGTCATGATCTTTCAGGATATCATATATAAACTTTTCCGTTTGATGTAATTCAGCTTTATGTTACGCTATCGATGATATCTTACTTAAACTTACTTAACTTCGAATTGATTCGAGTACTATAGGTTAAGTTAAAGTACGTCCAGCATAGTTTTGTATATAATATTTTTATTTTTATGTTTAATATTATTGTTGTTTTTTTGTAGGAGTGGTAATTTTACATAGCTATTTGCGATTAACATAAAATACTGAACACAAGTCAGCGTAGCCTAAACTACTCCAACTTCGAACTTCGAATAATATGATTCTCATTTTTCACCAACAATGTAATGGTATAAGGAAAGGATAGATTAAATAAAATGAAAAAAGTTTAGATGTTATCTTGAAAAACCAAAATTAAGCACCGCAAACTCAATATTCAGACTGCTGCATGTTAACATACTTGATGTGTGATATTTGGGAAAGAGTTTATTTCTAAGTTATAGTTATTTTTACAGTTTTAGCTTCCAGATGGATCTCGTTTTATGGGACAGTTTCCAAATAAAGCAAATTTGTTGGATGTTTTACATGAATTCTCGCAAAAGTCAACTCAGGACTTAGTAAAATGTGCTGATGGTCAAGTACCATGTTGTGCCTATATGAACAAAGAGGTTTGTTTGTAGTATTTAAGTATGAAACATCGTACAGTATCAGCTAACTTACTGTATATATAGACTAATGCCCAACTGTAACTTCATGTGTCCTTGCATACATTATACAACTTTAATTTCATGTTATTTGGTATGATTTGTGGCTTTTAACTACGCCATATATTTTATAGTATCGTGGAGAAGCAGAACTTAAATTGACAACTTTGGAAAAGATGGGAATAACAGGAGGGCGCTGTTTGATCAGGTACTTCATTATTCCATTATAAAATTAATTTGTATGGATCCATTAGTGCAATTTAGTTTTCTAATTCTGTCTTAATTAAATTTGATTTTTTTTTTTTTTGATAATTGAATGTTTCAAATGCATGAATTAGAACCCTTTTTTTACTTTTTTTTTTGAGGGTAGAATATTCCAAATTTTTGTTTTTTTTTTTTTTTTGGCACTAAGAGTGTATGAATCATTCATTGGAACATACTTGGATTCAATTTGTAAGATTAGAGATTTTTCAGATATTTTGCGATGCGTATGTCACAGAATGAAATGTCTAAGCTCGAAAATCGACTTGCTGAAGAATGTGAGCGAACGAAAAAGCTAGAAAAAATGTATGAAACAAGAAAAGTGGAAAATGAACGTCGATTACAGTTAGAAAATGAAAGAGAAGAGGTACCACATCATAAAAAATAAAGCTTTTTTTTTCTTATTAGTAATATAGATTAAATTGCTTGATAAAAGAGAACATTGTTTGAGACCGCTGTGAAAATCAGTTATATATTTTGATTAATTGTTGAAGTTGTTAAGAAAACTTTCTTGTGTGTGGAAATTTGTGAAACCATTATAGGAAAAAGGGAAACACAAGACTTGTAGAATTATTAATTGAATCATTTGTTTTAATTTCTTCTATTCATCAAAAATCATTACGGTGATTTATAAATTTTGAGCTGTTTATTCGCTGATTATGCGTGTTTCGATATTCTTAATCTCATTTACTTAAACATTTTAAACTATAACTTTTAAACTACAATAAATCTATGTAAGTGGAAATTATTGTGGTCATATATGGTATTCCTATAATCTTTTCTTGACTCTAATTTTCTGCAGTATAAATGTATGTAAGAGGTAGAACATGACTTTCTTTATGTTTTAGATTTTTGAACGCGAACTCAAGATGAAGCGTGAAGCGGAGGCAGCTCGTATGTTGGAATGCAGTCAAGAAACTGATAGGTAGATAGTTTGAACTCTTCTCGTCTTAAGTAGTAAGGTTGTGTTCAGGGTCTTTTTGGTTGTCAGTAGCTTCGATTGGTACCGAATTATTTTAATTTGATTCATTCATACTGCTTATAGAAATCCTGAAAATGCTATTCATACTACTCTGCTATCATCAGCTGGTCAAACTCAAAATGGAACTGAATGTGTTGCAGATGCTGAAAGGCTACCTCAAGCTTCATCACGTCTCATTCAGTTGCAATCTCTCCTTAATCAAGTGCTTTTTTTAAATTTGTTTTATTGCACGAACATATATATATACTCTCGAATTTTGTGAAAAGCTAAACATCATCTCTTCGTATTTGAAGGAATTTTCATTTTCTAAAAAAAAATTCATCAATTTTATCATGCGTTCATTTAGTTGCTATTTCGGTTATTGCTCTAATTTAAGTGAGGATTTGGTTTGTATGGCTTATTACATTCTATCAGCTTTTGGTTTTCAAAATTTCATAGAGTTAAAGCTAAATGTTACTTTATCCACTTTTTCTATTTACAGCATTCTTTTTTTTTTTTTTTTTTTTGATTTTGTTTCTTTACAAAAAACAATTATTTTGGACTTGCATCTTTTGAGATATTGTAACTCTTTGATCCTGCAATTCACTATTTTTTTACATATTCATAGGTTATTGTTTCTATCTCCATCCACTAAATAAATCACTACTAAACTCGGAGAAATGAGCAAGAAATGCTTTAGACTTTACTGTTTGTTTTTTGCAGGTAAATACTAGTTTAACAACAAATACAGGTGATTTTCCTGGTGAACAGCTTATTGGAGAAGATGGTAGAATACATCTTAGTGATTTACAAACAGCAGCACGAACAGAAAATGTTCGTCAGAGCGTGAGTTTTTGATTTTAAACTTTGGTTGGAAAAACAGTTTGAATTGCATTGTTTGTTTTAAAAATTAGTAATTGCCATTATCGTTAGCCATTTTTTCATTATTATTCACTGTCTGTTCAAGTTTATTCCCTTGCGATTTGCTTATTTCACTGATTTATCGTAAATAAATAAATGCGTGTAAAAATATTTCGTACTCTAGAAGTACTCTAGAAATTATAACAACATCTTTGTCCGAGTAATCTTGCTACTATAAAAATGGAAGTAGTTTGGATGACAAAAATCTGAACAAAAATTTTTTTTTTTACTGTTTTACTAAAAAATGTTACAGAACTCTATTACGCCTTCTTCCGAAGTGTCACATTTAGCTGTTGAGAAATGTGACCGGATGCCTGTCATAATCAGAAAAGATTTGGAATGGGATAAAAGCATAAAAGATGTGATCAAAAAGCAAGATGATATTGATGATCAATTTTTCGAACTTACTGTCAACGATGTACGGAGTATTCGTCAGGATCTCAGAGCAGAGGCGTTTGTTTTTTCAGATTTATATGAATTTAAAGACGATGGTGTTAGCTTTCAGCTGCATGTAAAGTAAATAAATCACTGTAAAAAAACTGAAATTTAGTGCGAATTGGTTAAAATTAATGTTTTAGAAATTGTTGGTAATTTATAGAAAACGGTAATTCTTATTAGATATCTACAACTTATTAGATATCTACTGTTTTTTTTTTTTTGATTAAGTTATAAGTATAGACTTAACTATCAAAAAATTCTGGTAGATGTAACTGAACTCTTCATGAGTAAATTTTCAGAGGTATACAAGAGCAGAGAGCTTTGCTTCCAAAAACATATATTGCTGAAAAAAATAAGCGTCTAAAAGAAGAAAGTTACAAGCATACGGTAGTACGATTCAATTGTGCTGATAGGACGATTATACAAGCTCAGTTTATCTCACGAGAACCTGGTTATTTTTAATAATTGCTGATTTCATTTTAATTCTCACATCAAAATGAATTTTTACGTATATTTAATTCAAAATGACTTTTTCCTATCTGTAGTTGAAATTTATTTCATGCTTATTTCAGTGTTATTTTTTCGCAGCGCTTCTCCAAAGTTACTATCAAGTAAAATAAATAAATATAGATTGTATTTCAGTTTCAAGATTATTTGAATTTGTAACAGAAAATTTGAAAAATTCTCTGATAAAATTCGATCTTTGTCTTGCAAATCAAAAGCTTTCGTCGACCACCTTAAAAAATCTAATTGAAATCGGTGTTGCTCCGAAATCTTCACTGTATATACGATTTTATTCACAGGAAAATACATTTGGTAATTTTTTTTTTCTTTACATTGAACGTAATTTTATGAAATGCCAATAAAAAAAAACCATTCGTTAGGTTTTTTTTTTTTTTTTTTTTTTGCAGATTTTGTGAAAAATATTAATAAAATATAGTAATTCCTTCTTTATAATCGATGATTTTATATGGAACGTCTTTTTTTCTATTTACATTTAATTCATTTCTAATGCAAAAATATCATAAATTTCTTTATGTTTTTAGCTGCTCATTTTGTACGAGATAAATTCTGTGAAGTTTCCATGCCAGAAGCTGATGAACTTAGCCGCAAATGGTATGTTTTGTCGCAACGGTTTGCAAATAATTTTACTTTGCATTTTTCATAGAATTTGTCACTTCAGAATGAATGAAAAAATTCAACATATGGATTGTCTAAATTTTTTCATTCTCTTCTACATTAACTGAATTTAATATATTCAATGATATCAATAAGTATTGTTCATTTCGATTTAATTAAAACTTATAGATCGAGATCTGTTTTTTTCCTTGTTCAGGTTGTCAGTAAATGGTATTTATCAACCTTATGTTCCAAAAGTGACAAATGCTGAGGATGTTCGACCAAATGGAAAGCGTCAATCGGAATCACTGGCAAATGATGCGGGTCCATCGAAGTTGAAACAACGACCTTCTGAAAATCTACCGAAATGGTTCAAAAAACCGTAAAATTTTTGGAGTTCCGACAAGTGTAGTAGAATTATAGAATTGAAGTTATTTGCTTCAATGACCATTTGGATGCAAATTTTAGAAATTGAATGTTTCAGTAATGAATTCGATTAATTTGTCGGTATCGGCTATCTTTTCTACTACATCATGATATTAAATTATACGAAACTTATGGTTCTGACATCTTTGCATGTATTTTCTTAATCGCTTGATTGTGATACATATGTGTTCGACATTAATGTTCTCTATTATATATATATATTTTTTTTTCGGTTCAGCATAATAAATAAGGCAAATACAAGATCAAACTTGATGTTAACATGTAGAAAATACAACATAGTTTAGTGCACTTCTTGCAAGAAAGTAATTAGACTAGGCGCTTATATATATGTAATATCAAAAATATGCAGGATGTGACATTCAATTTACTGCTCGAAATTTCGATCAATGTGAAGGATTCATGTTATCATATGTGCATGATGCTTGTGAACTATTTAAAAGTGATCAATTGAACTATCAAAATAATGAAATTTTGAAAGAAAATGAGTAATAATGAACAGAGAAATGTTAAATAAATAAATTAAAACAACAAAGAATAATTATTTATAAGAAAAAAAATGAATGAATATTTCGACTTGAATGTTTGTTGCTATTCAAAAAGAATAAATTGCAGATAGTATTTAAATCTGATATTAAGTCAAAATCATTTTTTGCAATACAAAAACTATTGTTTGGACTTTGAACTATTTTCACTGCTATTTTGGTAATTATTAGCTCGTTTATCATATTTACTACTTGTTTCTTTTGTTTTTTGTATTGATAGCGAGCAAATTGTTGGCATATGCAATAGATCTTCATCATTAATGATTTTCATATCATCCAAAATCTAAAATTATAAAATTTCAAACATCAATTGGTGCAGTGAAATAACTTCGCAATTATGTTACAAATATTTCTTATGTTTATTTTTGCGTTTATAATGTAGGAATAACATCATGGAGAATAATACACTATCAATTTTACGATAACACAATGTGATCAGCTTATCATTTTCACTCTTATTTGAACGACTAATTAATTAATTGATAATTTCGTTTCAACTATTATGAAAGAATTTTTTCTTGTATCGATGATGGTATATTTATAATTATCATATCATTAACATCTCTACCATCTCATATTATCTTATTGCTTTTTGTTAAATTTTAATTACAATTAAATTAAATGAAATAAAATATAATTTTTTTCTAATTAAATTGAAATTTACAGATAAAAATGTAAAAAATAAAATAAGCGAAATAATTTCATTTCTTCTTTTGACAAAGATTTTTGCAAATAAAATATTTGCTAAAACCTGTTTTTGTGAAGAATCCAATGAATAATAGGCTTTTTTCTGCCATCGTTTTGGTGGACGAAGTATGCTTGGTAAAGTTGATACTGTTGGTGGTCCAGCAAGCTTTGACACTTCACATTGTTGATTTTTGTCAACTGAGTAATTGGAAGTGGATACTGCTTCATAGAATGTACAGGTAGTATTACTGTTTATTTCATCGTCCATACTTTTACTTCCAATTTCGTTTCTCTAGAACAGATAGAAAAGTTAATGTTAATAATTTTTATACATTAATAAATTTAATTAACAATAATGGATAAATAATTTTGATGAAAAAGTTATCATAGATTTATATTACAATCATTTTATTTATTAATTTATTTTTTTGAAAATCACTTATATTATTTATTAATTAATAATATAATTAATATCATTTCTATATTCCCATTTTTTTTTCATTTTCTCAACTTTTTAAAAAATAAATTTTATATTGAAACCTTTAATCTGATTTGTGGAAGTGATTTTGAATTACTAAGACAGCTGCTGTGTTCTTGTTTCCTAAAATTTTACAAATGATAAAATTTCTCACATATAAGCTAAAAGGTGAAATAAATTAAAATTTATTGATTAAACATTGTAACAAATATTTAATAATTGTCATATTTCTTATCCTATTTCCTTTAAAAGTGCTAACTTTCCTTTAATTCATTCATTTTAATATAATCGGCAAATGAATAACAAAAGAAAATTCACAGATTTTTTTTTTTTTCATTTTCTTAACCTTTGTCATTTTTTTTTATTATCAAAACAATAATTTAAAATTGTTATAAATGAATGGAAGAGAAAAAAAAAATGAAAAGAGAAAAAGAAATAATAAACTTTAAAAATTGCATATAAACATTTGATTGCGAACTATTTTGTCAAACTTTTTTATTTTATTACTATTATAATCATATTTCTTTCTTTAGCAAATTTCTTTATTTAATGAAAATTTTGTTCGTTGTTAATTATTAATGTAATTTTAATTAATTAAAATTAATTTAACAAACACTAATGAATTGTTCAAATTTTGAGTGTTATTTTCAATTATTTCAAATATTTTAGTTTTAAGCTGTCCTGTGGTACGTAAGAATTCAACGTAATCTATTTTTTCAGCATTATCGTTTTTTTCTTCAATTTTCTCTTCTGTCATTGATTTTCCTGAAAGGAATGAAGCATTTAATTTATATAACTTTTATTTTTTTACAATAATTATTAATTATAATTGAGAATTTGAAATTAAAACATACTTCGACCTCTTTTTTTTCTTTTTTTTTTTTGCAAAATACAAAATTTGTTCAAAAAAAAAAAATTAAATGCAATTTTAAAACCTTATTTCAATTTAAAATTTTCAATTGTTGAATATAAAAAAATTTATTAGAAATTGATAAAACATTTTATCAATCATCTATTATGGAATGAAATTCAATGCTTAATCGATATAACCAAATTATTGTTGCTTAGAAAAAAAAAAAAAAAAAAAAAGGAAAACTGCGTAAAAATAAATGGTAAAACTAAACGATAAATTTTTAATAATAATTTTGTTTGAAAATTTTTGCATTGCTCTAAAACTCTTTTACTCATGCAATTTTCAGCTGTCAGGTTGCATAATAATAATAATAATAATATTGAATTTCAATAAGGAAATTGAATTCAGCTCATTCAAAAAGTGTGTGTTAAAATAAGAAGGAAAAAAGAGAGAAAATAAAAAAGAAAAAGGAAAAAAAAATGAAATATAAATTTGAAATAAGAATAATTGATGATAAGAAGAAAGTAAGTAATGATAAAGAAAAGTTCATACAACTTTAGTAGTTGATTAAATGAAATAATATAAATGATCTGATCATTACTGCTTCTTAGCAACTTATTAATGCACACACAAGCGCACACCTTAGCAACTTATTTAATTTTACATAGCAACCGGTCAATTTATTAAAATATATAAGTAATTTGCTAATTATTTTTCTTTTTGTTACTGTTTGAGTAAAAAAAAAAAAAAAACGAAAATGTTTATTGCTATTGTTAGAGCAAAAAAAAAAAAAAAATTTAATTAATTGTATTATTATTATTATTTTTTTGATATAAAACAAAAGAAAAAAAAAGAACTGAAATGACTTATTTTATATTGCCTATGTCAATTTTATACTTTATTTACTTACCTTTTCTTTTTCCTTTTCTGTTGTTATCTTTTCAAGACTTCACAATTTTGAGAAATAATTAAAACTCGTGTAAGCTCGTATAAGGCTTCTTCAACATTTCTTACCAATTTCAAATCCTAATTTTTTACTTATCAAAATTGTAATAATGTGCCGAAGACACAGTGGTTATTATTTTAGTTTAATATTAAAATTTATTTCATTCTCCGATAGACGTACATACATTTAATAAAATTTGAATATATTACTGCTAAAGTTTTATGCTTCAGTGATTTTACATTTGCAAAAAGATATTTGATAATTTTATCAATTAGATATTCTTTTTTTTTTTTTTCTAAATGGAAAAGTAATGGCGACAAATAGAGCAAACAAATTAATGAGAATGTAGATGAAATAAAAGAAAAAAAGTTAAGATGAATTTAAAAAAAAAAAGTTAGTTGGATAAAAGTTCATTATAATTATGCATGCTAACTTCTCTGTTAATTACCATAATATTTCATAGCATCATTGCATATTAACAAGAATGATTATAGAAATAGAACATTTAGTTTTTTTAGTTTTCATACTTTTATTTTAGAAAAAAAATTACTTATAATTAAATCACTCTTTTTTTTAAAAAAAAAAGTTTATGGTTGGTTCATTTATTTATTTTCAACAAAAATTTCAAATTTATCCAACTAAATCACAACTAATATTTATAACCGAATCATTGGTAATATGCATTTGGTTTTTTGATATTTTTGAAATTCATCAAAATTTAAATTTACCAAAAAAAATTTTTCATTAAATACAATTCAACAAACTTTTTAATTTATTGTGTTAACAAAATATCTTTAAATTAACAAATATTTCTGATTGAATAACTAATAAATATTATATTTCAATGTAAATTACACTAATAATTCTTAGTTAATGGAATGCAGAAAAATTCATTAAAATCGCATTACTAATTTTTATGTTACAGAAGAAAATGAACTTATTTGTGGTTGTTGAAGATGTATTAATTAACATATTGTTTTAAATTTATTAATAAAAATATATTCAGGCTTAATTAAAATTAAAATTTATGCCAAATTAAATTTTGAATGCTTAATTACTTTGGATTCAAAATTATATATTGTATGAATAATTTCCTTCATAGATTCTATCTGATTGCAAATATTTTCATGGATCAATGCATATGGAATTTTGAGATCCTCAAATTCTTCAATCTTTGTTCTATTAGTATTCTTCATTTTTAGTTACGTACACGTAACACGTACGTATACGTAACACGTAATTGATAATGAAGAATACTTACTCACATGTATTACTCATTCACGTATACGTATCATTTATAAAACTTTTAAACTTGCTAATCTTCACTCTCTTAAAAAAAAAGAAAAACTTAATATAACTTTTCACCTTTCTTTTGCGTATCAATTTTATAAAGCGATGATCGAAATGAATTTGTCAAAAAAAAGATTTAATTTATATTATTCACAAAAATGATTTTAATTTTTATATTTATACTATTCACAAAAATGATTTTAATTTTTATAAGCACTACTTTTTTTTCTGTAAGCATGTTTGATTATTATTATTTTCTAGTTAAATTCATTTCATATTCAGGAAGAGTTGCATGAATATTATCATTGTATATTATATTGTCTCGAGAAAATAACAACAACAAAAAGAATTCATTTGATAAATTAATAGAAAACAAATAATATTTAACAATAAGAAATAAATATATCAAATATTACAATTTCCTACAAACCCAAATGTCCAAATGTTGTTATAATATAACAATAATATTTCAAAAAAAAAAAAAAAAATTAAAAAACGAAAACTTTTATAAACTTTATTACAATTGTCAAGAAAAAAAAAACACCGGTAACCTAAAAATAATAAATAACAAGATATAATTTGATTAATAAGTCTATTCATATTTTTCCGATCGATTGCTAAAAAATTGATTTTAAAAACTGATTTTAAAATACAGCTTTTTTTTTTTCACGATACTGCAATTAGATTAAGAATGCTGTTGATCATTCATTGGATAAAGTAATACCTTAAAATTGTAACTTAAAATCCTCTGAAAATATAAATCAGAGATCTATCTTAATAAAACCTGCAAATTTACATTTAAATCACAAATACAATTGTAAAAATCATTCTGATATTTCAGGTATTTTATTTCAGAAAGGTATTTTAGGATAATTTCCATTGATAAATTGCACCATCGTTGCTACCATCACTAATTAGCAAATCTCCAACAAAAGAAACATTTCGTGCAGAGACACTGCAATTGTGTGCTTCTTTGTATGAAGCCTGAAATAAACTTTTCTTCCTCTATGAAAATAATAAAGTAATAAAACAAAAAAAGAAAAGAAAACGAAAAAAGAAACATTTTCCTTGAAAATTGTAAAATTGAAAAAATTCAAAAAAATTTTAATTATTACTTTACTAAATCATTACTTTTGCACAAATATTCAAATTTAACCATCTCTACTTTAAAATTTTTATCTAAAATAATTTAAAAATCATACATAGACGATAGAGAAACAAATTAAAGATAAATTTTACAATATATCATAGTTGTTTGTACATTTTTTTCTTTTAAAAAAAATTTTTTTAATGATCAAAATTACCAGAATGGTTGTTGTGGGATACTGATAAAAACGAAGCAAACCATTTGATAATGCTACTGCAATATATCGCTTATCAGGACTGCAATCAATAGCAGCAATAGATTTCATTAAAGCATATGAAATGCAAGCATTTTCAAATGAAACTACACATCTTGCTGAAGCCCATTCCACATCCTTGGCTTCTTGTATGGTAGCCACTTGGCCAGTACTTGAATTCCCTGGAAGCTAGGAAATAGTCTATAATATAATCCATAAAATATTTTATGCCTTAAATTGAAACAATGTTTTTTCAAATTATCAAAGATAATTTTTACCTATTCAAACTATTTGAAAATTTATAATAATTTCTAAATAAATATTCTAAATTCGTAAAATTTGATGCAATAAATTTGAGAATTTTAAATTTAACTGTCACAGAAGTGAAACACTGTTACTACTATACTAATAGATAATTAAATAGTATAATTTGAAATGTTACAAATATAATGTTGAAGATCATTGTCATTAGCTCGAAGTAAGGTAGCATCTGTTGACCAATCCATCGTCTTTATCGAAGCCTTTAATTCCTAAAATCAATGCAAATTTGAGTGAATTCCCAAATTCTAATAAAAAAACTGAAAATAGTTCAAAAAAAAAAATTTTTTTTAAAGTTTGATACTTATAATAAATATACCATAATTTGTGATACTTTAACATAGTGGCGGAAATCACCCGATATGGCGTAAATTGTTAACTTTTTTCCCTGCAAAAAAAAAAAACCTAATTTTAAAAATGAATAAAAAAAAAAATGATATTCTATGAAGAATAATACTACACTATAAATGTATTTAACGGGAATAAATGATTGTATACAAAATGTTAAGTAATACTTTGGAAAAAAAAAGAATACATAAAAATAAATTTTAAATGGAAAAAATAAACTTTTGAAATTTTACATACGATAAAATGAAGATATAAATGAAATGAATTTTGAAAAAAAGGCAATTGTAATCTGAACTTATTTTAACTGTAACAATAATTAAATTAATTTTGAGTGAAATTTCACTAAAAGGGAAATAAAATATTTGAGAAAGAAAATTTCAATTCAAATTTACTTACTTTAGTTGCAACAGCCAAAAAATTGCCAATTGTTGAAAATCGTATAGTTGTAATTGCATTATTTATTTCCTCTTCAAAACTATAAATTTGTGTTTGATTTGTGTAAATATATACAGTCCATGTACCATTTGCAAAACCAATAACAAAAGTATCACCTTTTGGATGAAAATCACTACAACATATTTCATCCTGTAATATAATTTTATAAAAGTTATGTTTAAGTACAGTATTAAGTATTAAATTTTAATTTAATTCAATGTTAACAACTCCTCTATTCATTCATTTACAAATTAGTTTGAATAAAACTCTCAACGTTATGCATGCAGAATTTTTTTTTTTTTAAAAAAAAAAGAGAAAAGTAAAATGAACATTTTTGTTATTATCAGTTATTATCAGTTATTATCAGTAAATAATAGTACATTATTATCAGAATGATTTAAATGCTTAATCAAGTTTATTAGCAAAATATGATAAAAAAAATAAACCTTAACATTCAATGTCCAAAGTATTGTTTTTGTTTCTGTATCATACAATCGTAATTTATTATCAGTTGAAGAAGAGAGAAAGTATGGTTTTGTTGGATGCGATGTTATATGTGTTACAGCATCTGCATGTGCCTATAAACTTTTTTAATATTACTATTAATATTTCAATTAAAAAATTAATTATCAAAAAAAGCTCAGAAAAAAATTTTTTAATTTAAAAAAAAAAAAAAGAAGAAGGAAAGGAGAAATGATTTAATTTACCCAATTCACAAATATTATAAAGTAATAATAATAATAGTGAAAATACTATTGGAAGCAGAAACTTTTGATCCTTTGAAACAAAAATTAAAAATAAACCTGTTGAATTTGTTGAAAACCATTATCCAATGTGCCACTCCAAATTGTATTCCTTGTTGTACCAATGAATAACTTAGAACTTGAGGTTGATGCTATGGTACGTATACAACCACTTCCTTCATCCGGAAACTAAAATTTAAAAAAAAAAAAAAAAAAAACAGATTGAAATAATGAAAATTTTTGCTAGAATTCACACAAAAAGCTATAAAATAAAATGTATTCCATTTTAATTATATTTCACGACAACTTATATAGAAAATAGATAAAATATCAATGTGCTCAAACTGTAAGACTTATTTATCAATTTTAAATTAATTTATTATCTATTTCATTTCCTATTTACCCTTCCAAAAATGATTTTTACATTAAACACTTACTGTTATTGGACCACGAATCTTTGTTAAACCATCAGTTTCCCATTCAAATAACATTCGATCTTTACCAGCCGAAATAAAATGCCCATTGCCAAGTAAACATAATGCCCAAACACCGCCATTATGAGCCTTAAATTGAAGAGTACTCGTAGATATTCGTATAAATTTAATTAGCATAAATAATAGCTTAATTATATGTAAGTAAAATAATTTGATCATAATTTAATATAGTAAAATCTGTAATTTCATATTTGAAATAGCTCAAATAATAAAAGAAAACTTTTTTTTTTACAACAATTGTTGATTAATTGATTGGTTAATTAAATACTAATTTAATTACCATTTGTCACATCTATTTATTAAGACCCATCTGATCATCTTCTCAAAAAACCTTTTTATAACACTAAAATATATTTTAGATTTAAATTCACCAATTTCATCAACTTAAACAAATAACCTTTGGTACTTGTCGAATTGGTTTAATCTGATATGTATCCCAAATTGTTAATGTACCATTAGAATCACCAGTTATGATATGTCCTCGTTCGGTGAAATGTGAACAAAGTACCAATTTTGGTTTATTGCGACCCTAAATTAATAAAATCGACAAAATTTTGATAGACAATTCCAAGAATATATAATTTAAAAAGTAAAAAGTTATACAATTTTGTCAATAAAAAAATAAAAAATTTTTATTTGCATATTTTATAAATGTTTAAAAAAAATAATATTTTATAAACATTTATATGAACGTTTTCAAAAGTTCATAAATGGAAAGCTTTATCTTCTTGGACCATCTAAAACTATTGAGGATATTATCTTGAATAATCGTTTACTAATTAGCATTAAGAATTTGAAAATTTTTGATCATAAAAATGCTTCACATCATTTATGCAATTAATTAATTAATTAATTTATGAAATATTTTATCTTTGAAATTGAAATTTTTCTACTAAAGCAGTAATTTGCACTATTTACAATATTATTAATAAATATTTAATTTTTAGATTAATCATTTTCTTCTATAAAATATAAATTTTTACTCAGAGTACCTCAAATATGATAGGCTTTTTGATGAGTGCTCCTCCATCAATCGACCAAACATTACAATGACCTTTCCCGTATGACATTAAAATATTTTTGGAGTATGGATGAAATTCACATGCAAACACTTGATCATTAGCACTCTGTAAAGGTCATTTAATTTAGTCATATAGAAGTAAAGGTCATTTAATTTAATCATATAGAAGCAAAGGTTATTTAATTTAATCATTTTCTGCAAAAAATACATAATCAATTAATTTATTTTATCACAATAAATTCTCTATTATCATTCTCTGTTTTTATATTCGATTAAATCTTTAAAAATTTTAAATTAATAGTTTAAAAAAAAATGAAGAGCAAAAGTTACTTTAAATTAATAATTATTTCATATCACTTATCAACAATAATCACTTTTGTTAAATGATAATTCTATCAAACAGAATTGAAAGACTGAAAATCAATCCTATCTGCTAGCATTACTCACCAAATAGACTAATATCAATGCATAATCATTTTGATAAGCAATATCAAAATTATTTTATTTGATAATTATAGAAATTTGAAATGACTAAAAAATTCAAATTGCATTTTCTCTATCAGCAAATTTTGATAAGCTATCAATTTAGTGCACAAACACAAAACATATGTATAATTTAATGAGAAAAAAAAAAAAAAGAAATTAAAAACTTTCTTTAATTTCTGCAATTTTTTTTCCTTTTTGCCATTCCCAAACACTAAGTGTATGTTCATATGAATCATCAATAACTGCAAGTTGCATGCCATTTGCTGCAGCACGACTAAATGTGCAACACTGAACACCTCGATCAAAACTTGCACTTGCATCACCTGTCCCAATTGTACGTAATGTTTGCAGCGTTATTGAATCCCAAATATGTACGTGAGCCTAAATTTTTGAACTTGTTGATTTGTTATTAATTCTTTTAATTCTTTTTTAAATATTATTATATTATTCTTCTTAAAAATAAATATATATATTTTATTCACTGGAATATGAAATGGGTAAATAACCCAGTATTGAGATATGCAATGGGTAAATAATTTGGGTTAAATTATACGAGAATGAATAGAAGTGAGAATTTTCAACATACAAAAAATTACCATAATATTAATTGGGGAAAAAAAAAAAACAAACACATAGACTAAGGCAAAATAATTGATATAATAAAAATTGAGATTATGTAATCCGGAAATTAGTAACAGAAATTGAAAATCCGGAAACTCTGGAAATTGCAAGCGGTACACATTTACCAAAATAAATCAGAGATTAATGATCAGATGGATCAATGACATATGGGTATAATAATAATTCTTTTTTAATATTATTACATTATTCTTTTTGAAAATATATATATATATATATATTTTATTCATTGAAATATGAAATGGGTAAATAACCCAGTATTGAGATATGCAACGGGTAAATAATTTGGCATTGCTCAAAAGCATTGTTTAGAAGAAATTATTAAAACTATAATATATATATATAAAAAAAAAATGGAAACTAAAAATAAATAACCTTATACCGGTCAGTTTCCAAAACATTATTCAATTCCATAATTGATGATATTGGTGAACGATGAATATTGAAACCCTAAAAAGAAATGAAAAATAAAAAAAAAAAAAAAAAACAAAATAAATACTTTAGTGAATAATAAATATTTTTAATATTTTAATAAATACTTTCCTTTTCATTTCAAAAAAAAAAAAATTAGCTCCTTTAATATGATTAAATAATTTATTTTCCAATTTACTAAATGTTTAATAATTCTTAGTACGATAATTTATGTTTATTTTACATCCATAAAAGGAAATAATTTGTTTTTGAATTTTGGAAGAAGATACATCACACAACACTAGGAATAAATTATAAAATGAAATCTGCTGTAAAAATAATTAAAATAAAAATATTATATTTGCATTATCACAACATTAAATCATATCCGAAACAGTTTTCTGAATCAAATAATCTCGAGAAATGAAAAGAAAAGAAAAGAATAAAAACTGCTAAAAATTTCCCATCAAATTTTCAAAGAAATTTTAGACAAGAAAGTACATAGATATACTTAAATAAGAAATTACTTTAGTTTAAAGACTTACACCTTTTTCCAGAAAACGTCTCGACGTCTGACCGGTTGCAATATGAAGTTTATTTGGATGAATAGCCATGCTGAAATTTAATTTCAAATTGATTAATTACTTTGTCTAAATTCCTTATCTAAAATTTTCTGTTTAATCAACCGAAAAAGTGAAATATAATGTTTAGAACAACGCAAATATGTTAGTAATTCTATATTTTACTTAAATACTTGGAAATTAACTGTAGCAAATAGCATTACTTAAGTAAACTGCTAAACTGTTAAGTATGTGGCAGTTATAAAATTTAGTAACCTTTTAAGCAAATGTACAGATATTTACAGTAAAAAAAAATAAAAATAAAAAAAAATGAAAACAAATTGTAAACAATATGTACTGTTGATTTTATAATAAATAAATAATAATAATATAAAATTAAATTTAACAATTAAAAATACTTTCAAAATTGTGAAAGTAAGGAAATGAATTAATACCATTTAATATCGCTGGTATGTTTGGTATAGTATCGTTGTAACGATTCGTTAGGATTGTGTAGTACAACAATTGTACCCGTAAAATAGGCAATTTCACCGGTTGGTAATTCATAGAGATTCCCGCGACAATCTTTACCACGATAACTGTAAAAAAAATCAATTTAAACAATTATGATTATCCGAATAGATGCAAAAGACTTTTTTTTTCAGGATAAATTTTAGTAAACAAATGATAATCATTATTTTAATAATCATTAGTTAAATGAAACAAAAAAAAAAAAAAAATACCCGTAAACCCAGTTAAGTTTCGGTTCACATGTAGGAGCATCAAGTTCACGTGTAAGATCAAGATTGCTTACTGAATTTGGTACTGGAAGATACACCGGTTTACCGTTTACAAATACCTGTAGCACACCTTTCTCACGTATAAATGACGGTTCACGCAGTTCTAATCTGAATAAATTAATCATTTTCACATTTTGTAGTATTTTAATGACATAAAGACTTGATTTTAAGGTATTATCTTTCATAAATGAGTAACATTTTCATGAAAATTGCAAAACGTTACGTGAAATTCAACGTAGAATCAATCTTTCATAACATCTATACTGTACTATAAAGCAAATTAATTACAATTTAATAGAATAATTTGAGTTTTATAGATATGTTTTATTAAATCAATCTAAAATTGCTCTCGAAACTGTAATGTTTCTTATCCGAACTGATATCAATTAATCACTCATTTTATTAATTCGAAATAAAACTAATCTTAATGGTACCCGAAAAACAAAAAGTAACCTAAAACGTAACAACGAATGTTGTGATATATTTGAATTGCTTGTCGGTCCATGTTTACTAAAATGAAATAAATTAATGTTGAAATTATTTGAAAAAAAAAAAAAAAAGAGAAGATTGGAAAAGAAAATGATTTGATGAAGATAGTAGAAACATTAAAAAAAAGATAAAGTTAAAACAGGAATGCATAAGTACACGTACGTACGTACCTTATTGATTTACAATATGATAAATTAGTTGTTGACGTGCCAACTTTGCTACTCTTCATTAAATGGTCACGTGAATTACGTCTTCCTCCTCTACTATACTTCACATCAGCACTGCTCAACCATTTCTTCATTCGTATATATGGCATTTTAATATTTGTTTCTTGATTTTGTACAGTGAATTTCTCGACATTCTGACGTATTTGACGTCCTAATATTGGATTTGTTTGGAAAGAAGACTGAAAAATGTCTCATTATCATTTTTTTTTTTTTTTTTTGTTGAAAAGAATTGTAAAATATGATAATGACAGTTATCATAGAGATAATAATTTGTAGAGTTTATCAAGTATTCAATTAAAATGTTTAGCTGATAAACTAATAAAATTTGAAAGTATTAAAATTCTGAAGAAATTGACTTCAGTGTTTTCTGTTATTGTGGACAAATAATGAATAATCTTGATAATTTGAAAGTGATATATGTTATCAACCATTTAAAGTACTATCATTAAATTTTCCTTAACTTATCATAATTGAAATGAAAAAATTAAAAAAAAAATGAAAATTATTGATCGATTGCTATTATTAGATGCAAGAATGATAATTTTTTGAAATTTTTGATCAAATTCCTTGATCATATTAGACTTAAAACTTTTAACTCTTAAACTATTATTTATTTCATTCTATTTTTCTTTATCAATTATTTGAACTTTTTTCATTCTAATAATTACAATCTATTGTATAAAGAAGAAACTGTAAACTTTTGAAAGATTTACCTTCATCATTACACGTATTTTGGAGAGGAAAAGATTAGAAAAATGGAGTAAATTTAAATTTAAATAAATAGAATTAATTAGTTTCAAATTATAGAAAAAAAAAATGACACACCGATGTATGCAAATTAATAAAGAAAACAACCTAATAAGTATGCAAATTACTATAAAATGAATTTATGATATATGGATGAACTGAAAGAAAGAAGGATAAAATATGTAAACAAGAAATATGAGACAAATAAATACGTAAACAAAAAAAGGAGAGAGGAATAAATATGTAAACAAGAAAAGGAAGAGAAATGTATAAACAAAAATTTTTGAAAGAGGGAGAAGAGAAATAATGCCATATCGTTTTTTTTTTTTTCTTTTTCGACAAACGAAATAAGATGTTTCAGAATTGTGTGTCTGAATAATATCACACATTTCGATATTCTATTCAAGTTTAAAATATTCAGAATTTTACGAAAGAAAGGAAAAAAAAAAGAAGAAAAACGACTAATCATCATTTGTTATTATTATTACAAAATTTAAACACTGCAAATCTAATATATTTTGTAAGGATATTATCAATATGCCTCATTAATTAATGAATTTTTAATTAATTCTTTTAAAATAATGAAAATTAAAATTAAATTATCTAATTTCTATCTTTTTTTTTTCAAACATTTGAATATCTTAGTAGTTAGCATAATTTATTTTGTATTTAATTAAATAATTTCCAATTAATATAGTATAATTTAATGAAATTTATAATTGAATGTAAAATAATAAAAAGAAATATAATCGTATCTAAATTTTATCTTTTTCTTTTCAAACATTTGAATATCTTAGTAGTTAACATAATTTATTTTATATTTAATTAAATAATTTCCAATTAATATAGTATAATTCAATGAAATTTATAATTAGATGTAAAATAATAATAAAAAGAAATATAATCGTATCTAATTTTTATCTTTTTCCTTTCAAACATTTGAATATCTTAGTAGTTAACATAATTTATTTTATATTTAATTAAATAATTTCCAATTAATATAGTATAATTCAATGAAATTTATAATTGAATGTAAAATAATAATAATAATAATAATAATAATAATAATAATAATGATAATAATAATAATAATAATAATAAAGAAATATATAGATATATCAATAATGAGATGAAATTGTTGACATTATGTGGGAATATTAAGTGACACTAAAAAAAGAAATTGTGACACTGAATGACAAAATGCTGTTAGCAATATATGGGAAAGTTACGATAAAACTAACATTTCCTTCTTCTTCTTCTTCTTCCTCTTCTTTTGCTGCTCCATTAAATAAATTTCCATTTGATATTGTTTGATTGTTATTTTCATTGCTATGACAAAGTGTATGTCCGTTATTTAGTATTCGATTTTTTGGTGTTAACAAATGTAAATTATGCACCGAACGTGAAATGAAACGATTTTGTGTTGATTGCTTTTTATCTAAATCAAATAAATAAATAATTAAAGCGAATAAAATAAAAGAGAAAAAAAAAAGGAAACATTGATGGAACATTCATTTTTTTTTTTCTTCTCTCTCTGATAGAAAAAATTTGTCACAAAATTATTTGCAAATTTTTGATCATTTGAATGTCATTTTTTTTTTTTTTCATCTTTATGGGATTACAATAATGCATGTGGAAATTAGTGAAAAATTTTTGAAGTTTTTTGAGGAATGAAATTATTTGAAAATTTATCTAAACTTAAAGTGATTTGTTTATATTTGTTATGGAAATGAATTAAAATTAAATTAAATTAAATCAATTTGGAACAGATATTTTGATATAGCTAAATTATAATTTTAAATAAAAAAAAAATGGAATGTGAAATTATGATTTTAATATATAAATATATAGAAAAAATTTATATATATATAGAAAAATTATAATTTTAAATAAATAAAATGGAATGATCGATTTATTTTTAAGTGAATTATCATTTACTTTTTGAAATATTTTATCTAATCTTTCTGATAATGATAACGGATCATTTCTTTAAAGAAATAATCTTTTATTACATACAATGCGATGGATAATTTACTAACATCAATATTAGATGCAAAAATATCATCGCAACGAGAAGAGAAAATAAATTAATGAGTTTGAGTTAGTTGAAATAATCTGAACTTGAGGTCAATTGTGATGCTGGTGATGAGGTAGTTGTAGTTGTTTGCATTGAAGGAGTTGAAGTAATTGTTGTTGTTGTTGTTGTTGTTGGTGTTGTTGTTATTGTTGTTGTTGGTGTTGTTGTTGTTGTTGTTATTGTTGTTGTTGTTGTTGTTGTTTTGTTAATGATAGTACTGGTGGCGCAAAGTGGCAGTGATTGCTCCAAATCACTTAAATGACGGAATGCTTCTTCAGCTGCTGCGGAACGCAAACACATCTGCAAAATAGTGAAAATAGTAGTATTATAAGCTAAATGAAGGAGAGCAGTTACAGTTCAATTGTTAAACAAATAGAAGTTAAAAAAAAAGATGAAAAAAAGAAAGGAATATTTGATAGCAAAAAATTTTTTTTTGAGAGAGAGAGAGAGAGAGAAAGAGATTCAATCTGAAAAATTTTTTCACTACAACGAAATAGTAAAAATGACAAGAAAAATTTTCAAAAATTTGAACAAATATCTCAAAAAGTATTTCTGATTTGCAAAAAAAAGTAACAATAAAATAATAATTGTAACACAAAATTTATTGCAAATCATTAAAATTTTCTTTTTTCTTCGAAAAAAAAAAAGAAAGAGAAGAAAAGAAAAAAATGGAATATAAATATTATCAATTAATATGTAATCAATGAATTATTAAAATTTGAAAAAAAAAAATAAAGAATATTTTTGTCAAAGAATTAACAGAATTGGAATAAAATTTAATAATTAAATGATAATTAAAGAAAAAACTATCAAAGAATATTGAAAAATGATAGAAAATTAATGAAAATGGCATAAACAGACTTTTTTTTCTTCTTTTTTTTTAAATTTAGAACGTTTAAATAGGCCAAGTGAGGAAGAAAATTTGTTGCATTGAACTGTAAAAAAATTTTTTTTCTGAAATTGATAGCATCAAAAAGGGACACACATTGAATGTCAAACTCAATGCGATCATTTCATCAATACATTACAAATACATATGTTAAAGATCAGAATTGAATATTAATATTTAATAATGATTTGAAAAGTATTTGAAGAGATAAATGACATTTATATTAAACTTTTGCAAGTTGTACTAATCGGATTGACTTAATTCATTGAAATTTTAAATTACATTTATTGATTATTTATTGAATAAGACTGAAATAAATGTGCATTATGGAGGAAGTTACAAATGAATGAGAATAAGTAATTGATTGTATCAATGCTTATCATGGATTATCAGTCATACAAATTGATAACATTTTCAATAAATTTTTCTTTTTTTTTTCTGTTTTAACATAATTAAATTTGAATTTTAGAGTGTCGAGAAAAGAAGAGAGATCAAAGAGATGAATAAATTGCTGAGAAATTTTAAAATGAAATGAAATACCATGCATATATACTTGAAATGAGAAGAAGAAGAAGAGAAGAAAAAGGAGAAAAGAATATAAATTATAAGTTGCTTCGCTTGCAATTGAACTTGACTTGTTGTTCGAGGTCGACGATATCATTCCACAATATCACATCATTATTATTATTATTATTATTATTATTGCTATTATTATTATTATTATTATTACTGTCATTATTATTTTTTTAATTATTATTATTATTACTATTATTATTATTATTATTATTATTATTATTATTATTATTATTATTATTATTATTATTATTATTATTATTATTATTATTATTATTATTATTATTATTATTATTATTATTATTATTATTATTATTATTATTATTATTATTATTATTATTATTATTATTATTATTATTATTATTATTATTATTATTATTATTATTATTATTATTATTATTATTGTTCATATTATTTCATATAGCAGCTGTAAAGTGTAGTAAATAATCAACGGTTAGAATTGTTTTTTTTTTTTTTTTTTGTTTTTAATATGTAATTAATTGTTCGAATTTCCGAATGACAAAATGATGAGTGAATTGAATTAAAAAAAAAAAAATGATGAAAGAGAATGCAACATTAACAATAAAAATAATTTAATTAAATTAAAAAAAAAAAAAAGAATTTTTCTTTTCACAAATACAAATGATCCACTGATTTCATTAGATATTATTACATTGTTATATGATTTCAAAGAGATTTATACGAATGAATTAAATTATAATTGAAAGATAAATTTATATTTAACAGATTTTACAATGAGAATACAGAAAAAAGATTGAAAAGAAGGAGAATTCAGCAGTTATTTCTTGATAACACCAAAATTAGAAAAATAATATTTCTGTAATCAATAATAAATGTCTTTTAAAATGATTGATTAATGACATAAAACATTATGATAAACAGTAATAACTGATAAGAAAGTTTCTTTTTTTTTTCTTTCAATCATTGAAAGAAACAAAATGAAAAAAAATTTTATATTACAGTGATAAATGAGAAAAATGAATCAGTTCATTATTACTTTGATAAAAGAAAAGTTAGTAAAAGTATCTAAAGAATAAATCTGAAAATAGAAAAAAACCATAGACAATATAAATTGCTTATAATTTAATTACATATTTTCTCTAAGAAATCTATTCTTTACTCTTTTTAATAGCAATCAATTTCATCTTTTAAATTTCCTCTGTTTCAAAAAATTTGCAAAAAAAAAAAAAAAAAAAATTCAAAAAGCATTTATTAATAATAAATTTTCCGTCAGTAACAACAATAATATATAAATAATAATCTCGAGATTTTCTAATATTTGACAATAATAAAATTTGTGACAATTTTTCTAGAAAAAAAAAAATCAGTTTTAAAATAAATTAACTTATCGTTCTCTTTTTTATTTTACAAATTTTTATCTACATATTTTATTGAATTTTCATTCATAGTTAAATAAAAATAAACAAATTTAATAAGGTTTATTTCAATAATTCAAGAAAAAAAAACAAAGCAAGAAAAGAGAGAGAGAGAGAGAGGGAAATAGAAAAGAAAAAGAAAAATGATAAACACAATTAACAAAATGATTGATAAATAATTGATTAGAAGAAATTGATAATTTCAACACACAAATAAAATGTTTGAGAAAAAGTACAAAGAGAAAAATGGAAAGAGAATACTTTCTTCTTTCTTTAAGGATAATAAATGTTGTCATCGTAATAAAACCAAACCACACGTCATACTTTTCCTTCTCTCTCTCTCTCTCTCTCTCTCTCTTGTTCCTTCTCTTTCCATCATTTCTTTTCTTTTTTTTTTTCAATTTTTTAAAAAGCAAAAATATTGAAAAATTATTTTGAAATTGAATAGGAATGGATTAAAGGGAATGTATTAAAGCATTTAAACGAGAAATATTATAAAATCCTTTCGGCGAAAAGATACACAGAATGAATTATCGAATAAATGTGATATGATAAAAGATAAATAGTAGTATGGATGTAATCTCTCTCTCTCCCTCTCTCTCTCCCTCTCTCTCCCTCTCTCTCTCCCTCTCTCTCTCCCTCTCTCTGTACGTGATTGTAGTCTATTTATGTGACAAAATGATAATACATATTATGAATGAACCATATTTATCATTGAATAGTTTATGCAAATTAATGTGACAAATTTATTGTTATCAAATATTCACAAAAATATTTTTTGAAAAAAAATATGAAATAAATGATTTCAATTTTTTACTCAAATAAATCAACAATTTACAATTTCATTCATTTAAATAATTAATGATATTTTCAAGAGTGAATTAAAAGCAATTCTTAGCTAATTATTAAATGATTATTAATTAAAAAATGAATTGTAAATATTACAATATTATCACAAATTTATTCCATTTCAATCATTAATGTAACAATTAATTCCTTTTTTTTTCAATTAAAACTTTTTGCTTATTGTATATTTAATTTTTCTTTTGTATTAACAACAATTAATATTAATTATTTTTTTTTTCTTCCACAAAATTTGATCAATCGATATTATATATTTTTCTTTGTAAACCAATGATTATTGGTAATAATAAATTGTTGTCGACGCAATGAATAAAATATATTTAAATTTTGAAATTATTAAAATGGAGGAAAAAAAAAAGGGCAAAATGAGGACATTTAAGGTAGAAATGATTGATGTGTAAAGATTATTACAAAGTATACAATTGCATGGAAGGAAACGAATAGTTTACATATTTTGATTATATTTCTAACCGAAATTATCACATGAAATGATAAGAATGTTATCAGCTAGTAAATTTATGATAATTTAAAAATAGAGCAATGAAAATGATTGTTAATTATAGTGATTTTTTTTTTATTATTATTATTCATTTAATCGTTTATTTATTTCATTTTTTCTTTCTTAAATTTAATTATTTATTTAATTTGCTTATTTTTATGTAACTAACAAATCAAATTATAATTAATAACAATCATTTTTAACTATGCAAAAAGAAGTTTTATTTAAATTATGAATGACAATTGGTAGTTAAACTTATGCATTTCAAAAGAACTAGTTTTAAAAATTCAAATGAAATTAATTCTTAAAAATAGCAATCTTAACCGATATAAACTGATTTTATTCTCTTTTAAAATTTTTCATGTAAATTAAAAGAACCTTTTTAACAAAAAATAAAATTAAAATTCCACTAAAGAAAAAAAGTAAAGAACGAAGAAATTACACAAAATTTGTGTTACCTAAATGATTTCTTAAAATTTGCTTTATATAGCAATTTTTTAAAATTCATTTTTTGCAATCATTCACTGACAATTTTGTACAAAATCATTTTCTTCATTCATTTTCACTCTTCCATACATCCGCCACCAATGATCCGTTTTGTGATCAATTTGATCAGTTCAATCGGTGATTCCATCAATCGTTACGGACAATATTCAAATGATATCATTTTGCTTCCTACAAACTTTTTGTGTTTAGAAGAAATGAAGAAAATGTTGAAAATATGAATTAAATTAAAGAGCAAAAACAAATTGACATGTCAAAGAATGAATTATTATTACTATTATTATTAATTATTATTATTATCATGATTATGATTATTAATTATTATTATTATGATTTATTATTATTATTATAATCATTATTATGATTCTTACTTTGATTGCTTATTTATTTATCTATTATTATGGCTGTTATTGTTATTATTATTATTATCATTAACATTATTAGCAGTTAATTATTGCTTTATTATATTTCATATGAATAATAACCAAAGTTTCAAAACTATTTGTAAAAATTCATATTTATCATGCATTATTGACTAATCAGAAATTTCAAATTATTGTATAATTTATTGAAC